GCAAAATAGCAACAAAAAGCAAACTGTAATTCTTGTGAATAAAAGGTTTTAGGCACCTCAAAAGAGAATCTCAGGTACTGCCTCATTTCAGGGTTTAGACTAGTTTACAACATTGATGCTTAACGTAATTATTGGTATGTTGGAACAAAACTTAGAACTGCTATTTTATCATTAGTGTATTTTGTTTCTTGTTTTTCTGCCTCCATTTCCTCCTGTCCTGTGAGTTACTAGATCCTTTTTGTTTTGTTTTGTTGCTTTTTGATGCAAGGTCTTGCTATGCAGTTCAGGCTGGACTTCAACTCACTTTATAGGCAGGCTGTCCTTGAACTCACACCTTGCCTCAGCCTCCCGAATGCTGGGATAGATCCGTTTTCTTAAAAAAAAAAAAAAAAAAAAAAAAAAAAATGAAGTTGCATTTTTTTGGTAGCAAGGATCGAACTCACAACTTCGCACTTGCCAGGGAAGCGCTTGTGCCACTGAGCTAAATCCCTGGCCAAAATTTGTATTTTTAAGTCATTGCTCAAGCTGGGCATGGTGGGCACACTCCTGTAGTCCCAGCACTTGCAGGCTGAGACAGGAGGGTTGTTGTGAGTTCAAGACCAGCCTGGGTTACAAAGTGAGCCAAAGGCCAGCCTGAACTGCATAGCAAGACCTGTTCCAAAAAGGAAAAAACAAAAACAAAAAAAAAAAGCCACTGCTCTAAGGATTAAACAGTACTCACAGTCTATTAGTATTAATCTTTTTTACCATTTAAAAAATATGTGCTCAGTGGTAGAATGCACATTTAGCATGCGCAAGGCCCTAGGTTTACTCCTCAGCACCAAAATGTGAATTAAAGCGATATGTAGAAATCTTACATTTAGATTAACTCAATTCTTCTGCCTTTCCGTAGGCCAAGAATCATATAAAATAATGCTAATTGTTATCAACCATCAAATGTAATTTTCAAAAGCCCAAGTTCGTGCATTCCTCATCCTGCTCTTCCTGCCGTCCCATTCCCTTCTATCTGAAAAGTTGCTTTTAACAATTCTTTCAGAGCAAGCCAGCTGGTAATGAACTCTGTTGGTTTTCCTTCCTCTGAAAAAAAGTCTTGATTTTGCCTTCAGTTCTGAAGGGTATTTTTCCTGGATGGTTCTAAGCTGACAGGCATTTTGCTTTAACACTTAAATGTTATCTTACCTCTGACTGTAACCGGCTCCCTCCAGGTCTTGGGTTCTTGTTTTGGCACAACCAAGATTGAAGTTGACAAAACAGCAAGCAGCAGGCGATGGATGGGGAATGGCTGAATGTGTTTAAGAGAAAGAATAAAAGAAAAAGAGTCCCTGCTTTGGCGAGAGGTAAACCTTATATGCTCAGGTCTGCTAGCCTTTTACAGTTTTAGGGATGTTGTACCCAACAGAAAGCAGGGTGCTCCCGGCTGCAGGTTGCTCTTCCTGTCCAGAAAGCAAGCTGCTTGGTTTGTATTTCACTTTTTCCAGTCTCTCTCATTTGGTTAGGGACCTGCTCTTTGTCCCTTTGTATTCCATTAGATCCGGATGGTCAGTTTTTTAACGCTGTTAATCAGCCTCTTTGGGATGTTAATTCACTTGAGCTCTTTTAGTTTACTTTGGGTTAACTATTCAGGACCTAATGTGCCTATCTGATCTTCATGGTTTCTGGGGAGAAATATGCTTGTCTTTTTATCGTTTCCTTATAGACAAGCTGCTGCTTCTCTGTGTTCAGTATCTTCCATCTTTCCAGAAATATGATTGTGAAATCTCTGGGGTTAGGTTTATTTTTCTGCTGGACGACTGTAACGTTTTATTTTTCACAAGTTTATTCTTCAAATACTGTTTAACCCTGCACTCTATTCACACAAGAATATTAGGTATTTTCCTATTGCCCCTTAGGTCTCTAAGGCTCTCACTTTCTCTTAAATCTTTTTAGATTAGGCAATTCCAGTCATCTGTCCTCCAGCTGACTCAGCACCTTTCATCTAAGAGCTTGTCCTGTGTTAATTACTAAATATTTCAGTTCTAAAATTCTTTGTATCTTGTATTTCTTGGCTGAAATTTTCTGATCATTTTGGAAATTTTCACTGTTACCTTGGAAAATTTTTATAGTGGCCATTTGGAAGTCCGTTTGTAATCTGGGTCTTTGGCATTGGCCAGTTGTCTTTTCCAATGCTCGCTCATTTTGAGGTTTTCCCAGTTATTTGTACACCAAGTAATACTGTATTATATTCCTGACATTTTGAGTATATCAATTTATGGGCCTTGCTTTATCCTATATACAGTTTTATTTTTTTAACAGGCAGTCAGCTTTGTTGAGTTCACGCCTCAAATTCCAAGCCCTGCAAAGTGGGTTGCATTTCCAGTCTTAAGTTCAACTTTCAAAATTTTTGTCATGCTATTGGGACATCTCCTGTGTGCACCATGCAGAGAACAGTGTGGGACCTGGCTGGCTGCCTCTCCTCTAGTTTATATCTAAGTCTTTGTACACTGTTTAGAGTACAGCCACACACGCAGCGTGAGGGTAGAGGCATTTATTCATAACTTGATGGGGTTGCTCACCAAAGTTCCTGCCCCTCCTCAACCGAGTACTTCTTGGTCCTCTGGGCTCACATTCAGTCCTCCAGTTAAATCACTAAGGCTTTTGTTACCCTGCTATGGTTCACACTTCCATCAACGGTGGTCACACCTAGGCCAAGCGGTGAGTGGAGAGTTAAAAAAAAAGCAACAGGGATTTGTTTTATTGTGTTGGGACTGCAGCTTCAACAATCCTGGGGGGGGGAAAGAAAGCTTTGGACTTCTTTAAGCCTTCCTTTAATCTAGATAATGACTTTTCTTTCTCTTTAGTACCTTTCTGGATCCTTTATTATACCTTATATATATTAAAAAGTTCTCTGATCAAATCTGCTGTTGGTTAATAAACTGTTCTAATGAAAGGTACAGACTTAGGCCAAATTGATAAAGAGGAATGAAACTCCCAACCTGCTATATATCTGTAACTAGTTCATGTTCTCTAAAATCCAAGAATGAATTTTTGGAACAACAGAGGTTAAGAGCAGAAACATTTGAGAGAAAGAAAGCTTCTGTTTGTGAGACACAGAAGGGGTCCCAAGTGGGTTGCCAAAGATTCTGTACTTTCTCGGGATTTTTATAGAGTAAAATCATGAGGTGGGCAGCTCTAAAGTTGGGGAAAACTGGGAACTCTCTGAGGTACAGGCATGAGGTGAGACAGAGCTATGGTCAACCAGTAAGTTTAATTGTTCAGGTAAAATTGACCAAATCAGGGACAAAATGGGGAAGCGAGTCATGTCAATGACTCTTCCTATGAGGGGGCTGGGATGGTGACTCATGGCTTCTTGAGGTGATCCAGACTTAATCCCTACGGCTTGTATTTAAGAGTGTGGTTGCATTTGCTTTGCCTTCTGTCCCAAGATCTGGCCCACAGCAAGAGGTGTGTGTCCCCTCCAAGGTCATCAGATCCGCGGCCCTCTGTGCTGGCTTCTTCAAGGGCCCAGCCCTGACTGCCTGTATTTCTAACTAGCTCAATTGCCTCTAATGAAATGTCTGTGATAACAAAGTATTATTAAACTTCAATGATAGTGCACATTTTAAAAAAATAAAAGTTCAAAATTTCTAAGCCTAGCCAAAAAACTGCTACAACTTTTGTAGCTAATGTCGGTGCTTCTGAACTTTAAAACACAGTATTTCTCAGGGCTGGGGGATTTAGCTCAGCAGCATAAGCACCTGCCTTGCAAGCAGGGGTTGTGAGTTCGATCCCTGGTACCGATAAAAATGAAAAAAAAGAAAAAAAAAAAAAAAACCACAGTATTTCTCAAGAAATGCAGAAGAGTTTATGATGGAAAAGATACACTTCTTAGTTTTTTTGGTTTTTTAAAGGTATTGAGGTCTAAGCCCAGGGTCCTCACACTGAGCTACATCCTTGGTCCTTTTTTTTTGTTTTGAGACAGAGTCTTGCTAAATCACTAAGTTGCTTAGGTTGGGCTCAAAGCTGTGACCCTCCAGACTTACATTCCCTGTAGTGTTTTTTATGGTTTCCAGAAATTTAAACACTAAACAGCAGACAGTGGCAAAGGTAGCTCAGGTATTATGAAAAAAGCACTTTAGGGACAGAACCAATGACTGTGTGGGAGATCTAAGAGTTGGAGGAGTACAGCTGATAAAGCTGATACAAATATGAGCAGTGAGACTGAGGAATGGAGAAATCAACACAGAAGTGACTGATGCAGTAGAAGTACGTTCTAGTCTCATTCGAATATAGCAAGAAACTTTGAGAGGTTACTGAGATCAGAAAACATCTTCAGATAAAGAAAGACGAGAAAGAATTGATGATTCAAGAAATGTATGTCACTGAGAACAAGCAAATTAAGAATGGAAAAAAAGCAGCTAAAAGGGTATTAAACTGAGTGCAGTGCCACACACCTGTAATTCCAATACTCGGGTAAGCTGAGGCACGAGGATCTCAGGTTCAAACCCAGCCAGAGCAACTTAGTGACTGCCTTAAAATATAAAAGGCCCTGGGTTCAATTCCTAATAAACACAAAAAGAAACAAGTATGGAGAGAGAGATAGTTCAGGATAAAGAAAAATTCTCACAAGAGTATGGGAATACTAAACAATTTCTAAGAAAGATAAACTAGGAGAGAATTCTGGAAAAGGTTGCGTAAATGATTTCCTCTGTCTACCCACACTAACCTTCCTTATGTTTCTTAAAAGCAACAGTTAGAGAAACTTTCTCAAAGCTCTGTATTTATACAATGCTACTTCCTAAGACGTGTCTAAGGCACATCAATGTGAACTGAAATATCCCATACTTCTGGCTTGAGGGATACTTTGATTTTGTAAAAAGGATTGCAAAAATCAGACAGAACTTGAGGCTGGGGGTGTAACTGCAGGCAGAGCTTGTCCAGCTTGTGCCCAGGTCCTGGCTCTATCCCCAGTGCGTGCACACACACACACATACACACACACACACAAAAACAACAGAACTTCATAGTGTATCTGCTGAATTATATTATGAACATTAATGCAATATCCACCTCAATAATTTCATTCTAAAAAATGATAGCATAGTGATGGTTTAAAGCTGGCTCAATCACAATTTGGTAAGCTTATTTTTCAAGAGTGAAAATAGATTTAAAACAGCTAAAAAGGTAACAAGTATCATAGTGTATGTGTCTGTAACTGTTGCTACGGCTTGTATCTAAATCGGATGTGGAATTCATAATGGACTGAAACAGTTCTGGGCTTCACGACTGGTTTGCTGGGTGCTAAGAGTCCGCAAGAGCCTGGCTGTGGGAGCCACTCCTTGTCTTCAGCTGGGACTGGGCGATGTCCGCGAGCGCGCTCTGTATCTTCTCCAGAAGCATGTCGCCTCGGTAAACCACATCTTCCAGGCATGTCGCCGCTTCATGGTTTTCTTCTTCTAGCTTATATAAGCTGGCGGCCTTTATGAGACACAAATTTTTAAATCTTTATAGAGTTGAAAAGGAAGAAACTGCAGTAGAGTTCTTTATTTTTAAATCTGGATGACTCTGAAACTATTGTGATACACTGTTCAGTAGCAGGACTTCTAAAACTCACATCAGGAATCTCTAGGTACTCTCTCTCTAGGTGATTGTCTTGCATTCTGTTCAGGATCTTGCTATGTAGTTCAGGCTGGTCTTGAATTCATTCACTAAATAGCCCAGGCTGGCCTTGAATTCTTGGCTCTATTCCTGCCTCAGCCTCCCAAGTGCTGGGAGTACAGGCATGCGCCACCAAGCCCTGCCACCTTCCTCTCACTCTTTGCTAGGAAACCAGACAAACTAAGAAATAGGAGGTTTCCTTGTAGCTCAAAATTTAAGAAAGATATAGATACACAGATATAAAGACAGACATTCAGTACAACCTTCAGTAGACTATACCATCAATAAAACCCCTATTTTTAACCTTCAATATAACAAAAGATATCAAACCTTTCAATATAACAAAAAATATCAAACCTATCTTCTTTCATTAAAGTTTCTCTATTACTAGTATAATTTCAAAGAAAGAGATTTTTTTAACCTGTAAAGCAGCTGTAGATTCTTCGCTGGGTAAGGAATCTATCAAAACATCAATATCTTTTGCTGTTCGTGCAATCAGCGCAGCAAAAAGCTGGGCATACTCTAGAGAAAGACAGGACTAAGTTAGGATATCAGAAATCTCAAGTTTTCAGAAACTGAAATTAAATTTTAAGTTAGCGAAATCAGAAAAAGTTCACAGGACTTTAACTGACAAGTTCCCGCCAGTTTGAGCCACTGGTGGCACACATCTGACTGTCCCGTCCCAGGGCTTGTTTCACCTGATGGGACAGTCACAAGCCACCCAATGGGACAGTCTTCCATGTACTGCCAGTGGTTCAGCGCTGCCTCACAGGGAGACATACAAATTACAGTCCTCCCATGCGTGTGTTAATAATCTAAGCACAGCAATCATATTATACATTTAATTTACTATTAGTTCAAATTGGAAATAAAGCATTTCATTTATTAGGACAACAATGATGATCACCTGAACAAAGAATCTGCCAAAAGAGTGCCTTCCTAAGATTCTTCAAGGAAAATTCTGCTAAATTCATATAAGCATTCCTCTAAAGGAATATGAATCTGTTATTTGATGTGAGCAGAATTAGGAAATCTGTGAAATGACTATAACAAATTCACTTGTTTTATCACAAAATGTACTACCCTCAAATATCAGTTTTAGAAAGAAACCATACATAAGCTGTTTCTCAATAAATCTATTTTTAAAAGACTACTTAAAATGTCAGAATAAAACTAAGACAAGCTGAGAAAACTTACCTTCCGTAGGGTTCGCGGGCTGGTCTTTGTTAATCGCTGTCTGAATGTTACTGAAGGAGGCGGGAGGCCCACACTGCTGCAGTACTCCAATGGCATTACAGAACTGATCTGCGAGCTAGGACCAGGAAAACACGGCTCGGTGAGAAAGCCTGCATCAGTTTTAACGGCTTTTGTGGTAATGGTAACAAGGCAAGAACAGGTTTTAAAAACAAGGATCTGTGAGTAAGGAAATAATAGGAGTAATTTTTAGCAGTCTTTATGATGATTATTATCCTGGTCCTGGCGGGGGGGAGCCAGGGCCTTGTACATGCTGATCGTGTGCTCTACCTCTGAGCTACACTCCCATATAAACATTTTAATAATTCAAAGTACCTAAGTTTAGTGTCAGTATAGGTGAAGTTAAATGTAGTATCAATCTACCTGAAACAGTTAAAAATGAAATACATGTAAATAATCTTTCTTTTCTTATGAAACGAGTAGAATCAGAAATAAATGCCAAAACTTATTGCAAGTGACAAGTAAATACTTTCTTGGGCCAGTGGCAGCAAACAGCAAATTTGACCTGCAAATATCTAAGTACAGCTGCAGGTTTAATAAAAATATACATATTATCATATATAAAATCGACAATTTCTTTTCTGAGAATGTAGTAGTAGCAAATATAAAGAAACAAAGAGAAAATGACTTCAAGAAAAGCTACTTTATGTAATCAGAAAAGTATTTAAGACTCAAGTTGTAAATGCCTGGTGTTCAAAATGTATTCTTTTAGCACTTTTAAAGATAAAGAATACCAAATTCCTTACCATCTCCAAACCAAACACTCCTATTTTCCCTATCAGCTTTTCTCACTAATATCCACCCCTCAAATCGTAATTTATACTTCCAATCAGAGAATAAGCATTTCCACTACGTTTCGCTACCATTATTTCAATGACAGGAATTCAAACTCAACAGCTTCCTCTGTAAATAGCCTCCTATAACCTGCTAGTTCACCATGTTTTTTACCTTGCTCCAAAAATGAGTTCATTCTACCATGGTCTTCAGGATATGTCTCCAATTTTCAGGCTGTTTCAAAGCCTTCAATAATCTAAATCAACTGTACTCATTCATTTTCTACTTTTCCCTGTGGTTTACCTGACTAATTATAAATTAGTTTATGACTAGCTTTGCTCATGTTTTGCTATTAAAATGTAGTAACAGCTCAGAAGTTGTATGTAGCTAGATTCTCATGGTACTAGTAGCTTTTTTCATTTTTAAACCAAAATATTCTATATCATATCATTATTATTAGGATAGGAAAAAACAAAACCATATTCAGCATGGTAGTTCTCTTGTTCAGGAAAAACATTTATAATCCATTAATTCATTTATTCAAAAATATTTGCTGAAGCCAGACCAAGTGGCCAGTGTCTATAATCTAAGCTCTGGGAAGCCAAGACACGAAAGATTGCAGTTTTGAGCCCAGTCTGAGCATCTCAGCAAGACTTTGCTTGTTTTTTTTTAATTTACTGAGACAGGGTCTTGCTATGTAGTTCAGGCTGGTCCTGAACTCACTATGGAGCCCACGCTGGCCTTGAACTTATAGCAATCCTCCTGCCTCAGCCTTCTGAGTACTGGGATTACAGACGCGCACCACCATGCCTGCAGTAAGACTCCGTTTGTAAATAACACTTTTTTTTTTTTTTTTTTTTTTTTTTTTTTAAAGAGCTGGGGATGTAAAGTCCAGGTTCAATCTCTGGGATCCTAAATAAATAACTGGAAATCGATTCATCAATTCCAGAGCAATTACTGCATAAAAAGATACTATGATACAGTTTCTGCATTCATAGTTTTCAGAGGGCAGAACAAATGTTAATAAGACCATGCTTGGGTCGAGTGCTATGCTTCCTTCTATTTTAATTCATATAGCTGTGCGTTTCAATTTGCTTCAACATTAAGAGTTGAAAACAGTTCATTTATTGTAACTCCCTAGCCACATGCTGTTGCTGCATCATTTTAAAGTCTCTTGAGTATATGACATCTTTCCAGTGTCAAAAAAGAGCACCTCTTTGTAAAGACGACAGTGCTTATATACACAACCACTCACACTAATTAGCCTAAAGGCTTCTCTGGCAAATCCAACTATTAGCATGCTTACCTTAGGGTTAGTCACATTCACTTTGTCCTTATTGTCCCAGTTGCAAGACATACATGAATTTCCAAATATTTTCCCCAAATAACGTTTTTATCGGGCAGCATCATAACAATCTGATTTCGTTAAACCTCAAAGGAGTATCTCCCTGAGGGAAGCTGGATGGTTGCCTAGCCAAATCACTGTAAAGTAGATTTTTACCTTGGTGAATTTAAGGACTCAGCCTTTAAAAGCTCCTATTTTATTTACATAGGGTAGATCCGTTTTTTACAAGTAGATTCACACATTTCAAATGCATGGAGACTGATATATTAACAAGAATGTCAAGGTATTAGCTTCCAGTGACGGGAAACAAAAACAATATAACAAACAAGCAAAGAAAAAAACCGACCAGAAGATCAGATACTTAGGTTTCAGGCAGCAGATTCTTGTATAGGCAGGCACCTTATCTGGGACATCAAATTACAATCAGAATTACACTAAGAAATATAATTATCAATGGAAACCTGTGCAACTCTTTATGGGAATATGAACACAGATGTGCCTTTGCTTGCATAGTCCTTAGCATTGGCATAAGAAGCAGGAAAAAGAATAACCTGAACGAACAACGTTAGAGGAGCTGCTTACAAAATCTAAACTGTTACAGAGAATAGGCTTTTTATTAAAGAAGCCTAAAATAAAAGGAAAGATGTACAAGGATTACAAGGTTCATCATCATAAAGATGTCCGTTCTCCCCAAACTAATCTAGTTACAGTAGTCCAGAGATGGGACAGGACGCTGGATCTACAGGAGTGAACCAGGACAAAACGACTTCTCACTTTCACCTCACTCCCGCCCCAACCCCAAAGTGCTGGCGAATACGTGGATAACGCTTAATTACAGAGATCCGATCATCAGGTGCAAAGGATCTCCTGAGTGTGTTAAAATTGATAAGAAGAGAAAAAGCTGCTTCTCTTCCCCCTCCACAGGAGGTCCCAGAAGCATCGCTAATAAACAGAAATGTGGTACGCGGACAGGCCGGGAAGCGCAGCCCCGGGCCCCCTGGGGGCTCCGCCTCCCTTCGCTCGGAGGGGGCGCTTTGTGCCTGACTGACTCCCCACTTCCGAGTTTTATCTAGGTCTCTGTTCTCTCTTCTTTCGCTTCAAGAGAGAAAGAACAGGCACTAATCGAACGAAAATCCTCACCGAGTTCACAGCGTCCTGCAACTGCGTGAGCCTGTCGGCCATGTTCCTCCCACAGGCGCAGAGACGCCAAAGCAGCCGCTCGTGCGTGATTGGGCAGTTTTAGGACGCATCACTGCCAATCATAGAACTGCGTTCTTAAAAGAGGTGGGGTCATGGAGAACACACCGCCCTAGGAAAGAGATTGAAAAGCAGCGTGTATGCTATTGGGCAAATTCAGGACGCGTCATAGCCAATCATAGGTCTGTATTCTTGAAAGGGGTGGGGTCATGGAGAGCAAAACCTCCAGGAGCGGGTGGAGAATTTCCGAGTCTTGCTTTATTTAGCCTAGGGCCATTAGAGTAAATTGGGAACCTGTGTGGCAGTGGTCTGGTTGCTTCGAGGGCAACTCTTCGAGGTTGTTAGGTGTTCAACACTGGACAGAGATGGCTGGTTTCTGCGGAGTTAGTGGTTGTTCTGGCCTTATCTATTCGTTTTTTGACATCATCTCAGTTACTTTCTCTTGCTTTTCGCTTTTTTACTTACTTTTTGCTTTCCAGGTGGATCGCAAAAGATAAGTGCTTGGGAGTCACGATATAGACTTTCAGTTCGAATTAAAATTCACCAGACAGGCTGGGGAGTTAGCTCAGCGGCGCCTGCCTGGCAAGTGTGATGCCGTGAATTCCATCCTCAGGACCAAAAAATAAAAAAATTAACCAGACTACCTAGAAGGCTAGATGAGAGTGTGTCCTCTCTTGCTTTGGGATTGGAGATGCGGAGAGAGCTCACCCAAACGTTCTTTGTGTAAATGTGCTGGATTCGTAGCGAAGGAGCAGACCTGGGAAAAATGGAAAACTCAGAAACTTAAGTGTTAAAGTGGGCAGTGTTAAATAGGAAAAGAAAAGGAAGAGCACTTGGAATTTGGAGGTAAGGTGTTAGCATAGGTGTAATTACCGTTTGTGTGACAAATGTATGACAGGAGGAACAGAAGGGTTCCGGGAATGGAAAGTGGAGGGGAGTAGAAAGTGGAGGATTCACAGCCTGTGATTAGAAGAGAGGAGATTCCTAGAAAGTAAGAAAAATAAGCAGGTAAGGTAGTATCAGTTTTAAGAACAATCAGGTTCAGAATTTGGTTCGCTATAGTCTGGCTCCAGCATACATCCAACCTTGCTTCCTTCCAGATAATTTTCAGAGTGAAATGATCCTCTGCTTCAGCCGCACCCCTTCACCCTTGGTTTTCATGGGTTCTTCAACCTTTTTTGGCCATGAACCTCCTTAAGAATCAGATTAAGACAGACATGATGATGCATACTGAGAGGATGAGGCAGGAGGATTGAAAGTTTGAGTTTATCGTGGACAACTTAGTGACTCAGCTAAGGACTGGTGATGTAGTTCAACATAAAGACCCTGGGCTCAATTCCCAAGGTGGGGGGCGGGGGGCAGAAATTCAAGGGTGTAAATCCTTTCTCCAAACCAGATTCTCAAAAATGTGCACACATTTTTAAAGGATTTGTGAATCTCTTGAAGCTGTAGACTTGAGGAATAACTCAACCTGCCTAATAGACTTAAGTGTCCCGCTCAAGAATTCTCAACAGCAGCACTGGTGACACTTCAGGTCAGGTTGTTTGTTGAAATGTGCTATCCTGTCCCTTGCAGTATGTGTAGCAGCACCTGTGTCTTCTGTCCATTAGATGGCAGTAACAGCATCCCTGCTCCAGTTGTGACACATAAAACATCTCCAGATGTTTCCACGAGGATGGCTGTATTGACCCCAGTTGAGTACCACTGGCCCCACTCTTTCCTTATGCTTTTCCTTTCTCAAAACAGTTTCTTTCTTGTTAATTCATACTCTATCTTTTCAGGTTTTACTCTTTTCACGAGTTAAGCTGGATAATTCCTTTGATCAATTCAACTCTAGAGGGTTTAAGCAAAAGAAAATGAAATCAAAGTGATTCACAAACCAGGCAGCTCGCAGAACCGGTGTAGGTTCTGAGAACTCCCATCAACAAGGTGATCAGACAGAATTTAGAGAACAAATGGAGGTGAGACAGAAAATTTAATTGACTACAGTTTTGTCAGTTAGTCATTGATTACAGTGTAACTAGTTAGTTGTGTGTAGCCTACCAGGCTAGAAGAAATAAAAGATAAATGGAAGGAAAACAAGGAGATCATAACCAAAATTGTACTTTTAAAGAGACCGCAGCTTCTAGGAGGCAGTCTGTCACCCAAGGTATCCATCTCAGCATTCGTTTGGTTAAATTTAGGCTCCTTCCCTAGAGACCACACCCCAAGTTCCACAGGCACACTGCAAGTCTATAAATTGGCTTAAGAAAAGAAGTGAAGAGTAGGAGCCTAATTCAAAAAAAAAAAAAAAAAAAAAAAAAAAAAAAAAAAAAGCCCAGCCCTATAGAATGGGCCAGTACGTTCCCAGGGTTGGCCTGTCTTCTGGGATTTCCACCCATTGTATGGAATAACACATCTCATTTCTCTGAGAACCTACTTCCACTCTGGGGTGGATCCTAAATCTCTGCTTAATAAAACCTTTCCGTGCCTTTAACTGAGTAGCCTGAAATTTTGTTTTCTGCCATGCAGTCAGCAAACCTGCAAGTTTACTCTACCAAAGGGCAGGTTAGGTTCCTTGCTTCTGCCTCGGGGACCCCCCGGCCCTAGCCAGCTGATAAGATCCATGGCCTCCCACAAAATCTATTTAACACTTGTTATTTATGACATACTAGAGTCCATGTGGCTCTCTCCTTCCTTCCTTTCATGGAGGACCACAGAAGAGCAGTTATCTCCATCTTCGCTCAACCTGGCCCTCTTTCCACGTATTCATATGTACAAAGCTGGCTAAGACTTCTCCTTATCCCTTCCGTTGGCTTTAAGCAATACAAAATGGCCTGGCCTGAGGTGCTGATGTGTAGTCTTTGAAGCCAGGGGACCGGTCAGTGTTGCTCTGCTCCAGCTCCCAAAAAAACACTTGTGAGCTGGACTGAAAGGAAAGCCACACTCCACGCTGTTGGCTCGGATCCAGCTTTGAGACAAGAGGCTATGACCTCCCGAGGCATAAAAACTTACACATCATAGCTGAAGCACCAACTCCAAAACATTACATACTACCTCGCACTGTGTTATGCAGATTACTCTTCTGCATGTCCTCCTCTCTGCACGCTGCAGAGGTGACTTCGGGCCTCCTACCCAGCCCAGCTCACAGCACTCACGGACTTCCCACCACTATCACAGTCATGCATCCCCAAGCCGCTCCCTCCGTGGAGAATTAATAAAACCTGAGTTCAATCCTGGCTCCACCTCTTTGTTCAGTTAACTATCACCTTAACTGGTCTTAGGTACCCCCTTGTTTCTCCACAACTGTAAATATGCCTTAGTGTTGCACCATTGGAATGGCTAGGGTTCCAATAACTTTTCCATGGGACTACAGATATAAACTTCCCAGGACTCAACGAGGACCAGGAAGGGCCTTCAGCACTTTTTCATTTGCTGCTTTCGCATCCCCAGCTGGATTAGATATGTTTCTAAGAACAGCAACTCCTGGTAGTGCAGGGGATGGAGCTTGCGCTTCCTGCATGCCAGGTCAGTGCTCTACCACTGAGCTACCTCCTCAGCCACTGAAGATCTCATTTTTATAACATGTGACTCTGATAGGCATCTTTTTCAGATGTTATATTATTAAAGTTTTAAGCATATATAAAAGTCCTAGTAAAGCTTCCAACCATTATAGACTCATAGCAAATCTTGTGGTAAGTAGTTTGATTTTATAACCTAGAATAATTCCTTATTTTTTCAGGAAAAAAAAAGAAAAAAACCTTAACAGTCTTTAACTTGAAATGTCAGGCCCTTAGTTACCATTACCAGTGACTCAGTATTAAGTTATTAAGTCTCTAAAATGCTCCAAGCAAGAGGTTGAACTACAAAGACTCCACGCTACCCTAGACTCTGCAATTCGCTAAGCATGCTCTGCTCCTTCACATTTCTGTGCATATATAAGGCATGCAAAATTCTTTCTTCCTTGTGTGAAATCCCCACACTTCCATCCACACCTCCACTTGGTTCTCCTGATCATTTTCCACTCAGCCTTTAAACATCTCTTTATAAATCTTTTCCGAGCTGAGAGGAAGCTAATTTCTCCCAACGTTTACAACTGTTCCTTGTACTTCTATTATTGTGCTTAGCATACTAAGGTATAATTACAGCTATGTGTAGCTTGAAGACTAAGACAATCCGACTTGTTAAATAACTGTACCATGTGACCATCACTGAGTGTACTTTCAAAAGCAAATCGATGTTGGCCGTGTGTGTCATCCTAGCTACTCAGGAGGCTGAGGCAGGATGATTGAACTATTTAGCAAGACCTTTTTTTCACAAAAAATTATAATAAAAGAGAACTGGCAGTTCAGTGGTAGAATACTTGCCTAGCATGAATGAGCCTCTGGGCTCAAATCCCAGTATTAAAAACTCTCCAAACCAAAAACGCTCCTAGGTAATAGAGCCTGCTACACATCCAAGCTATGTGATTTGTTGTTTCCAGAGTCACAAGAAAATGATGCAATTAGAAGATGTGGTAAATATGTATGAGCCTATTACCAGCCTCATACACTCTACAGTAAATTTTATATAAATTGGAGTACACTCTAAAATGATGGTATTGTATAGTAAATTTATAAACCCATAACATAGTCCTTTATCATCATTAGCAAATATATACTATACATAATTGCTTGCATGTTATTTTTATGCTGATAAAAGTATACTAGGTTTATTTACAGTATCATTGCCATGAACACATGAGTAATGTGTTGCTCTATGATGTTAATGCTACAGCATCACTAGGCAATAGGAATTTTGGGGGGATGTTATAATTTTGTAGTGCTACTATCATACGTACAATTCAGCGCTGATTAAAACCCTCTGCAGCATGTGACATACGCAACTCTATTCTTTCATCAGGCCATGAGCTGAAATCCCTGAATGCATACTTTTGGACCAAATTTCCTACTATAATGATTTGTATATAATAGTTACCATGTAAACACTTTGTGAGTGTATATTGTTATATTTTGTGGCTGAGGAAAGACCCTTGTGCATTCTAGACAAGTGGTCTTGCACCAGCCATACCTCCAGGACTTGGGAATTTAATGAACAGTCAAAACAGTGTAAATTTCTACCCATCTGGAAAGTATAAGATTTTAAAAATGCAGAATCAGACTCAGATTTTAATGGGAATCAATGGGCACATTTTATAGGGGTTTCTCCCTGCTTTGGTCCTGAATCCCTATGTCCATCTTCCTTGTTTTTGGTAAGGGGTGGGTTCCAGGATTGAGCCGAGAGCCTCCAGCATGTTAGGAAAGCACTGAGCTACACCCTAGGCCTTCCCTCTCCATTTTGAGGTGCACTTGAATTTTACAAAATGTAAGGTAGATTTTTTTCCTTCCTTCTTTCCTCTTTTCCTTTCCTTTCCTCCCTTCCCTTTCCCTTCTTTCCTTTCCTTTTATGAACTCTGAGCAGGCTTTTTAAGGCATTACTTATGCGTTTTTTGTTTTTTTGTCTTTTTCCTTTTTATCAGTACTCACAACTGCCTGCGTGCAAGGTAGGCGCTTATGCCACTGAGCTAAATCTCCAGCCTCCAGCCCCATCTTAATGCTTATTTTAAATCTGAAAATCTTTTCAGTTTCTGCATTTCATTTCAATACATAGGCAAACCAAACAAACAAGCAACAGAAAAAAACATCCTCCTGGACAAAACTAGGCGCTTCTTTGTGTCTCAGGACTTTTGCACAGAACTCTGACATGAACAGGGATGCACAGCCAGGCATCTTCCCAAGCTGCCACATTACTGCATAGCCAAGGTAACAAGGCTTTATTCTGATTGCCAACATATGTGTCATCCACTGTTACATAGTAGGACACACACGGGAAACTACAGTGCAAAGGAGAGATTGGGATTAATTTGGAAGACTGAAATTGATTTGATATGTGGCCAGTATAGAAAGTTTGAGTTAGCTGAAGCAATAAACTTGAGAATGGACAGGAACTACTACATCATGAAGAACATGTGTTGATCTAGGGATTCAGCTCAGCAGTACAGCACCTGTGTAGCAAGCACAAGGTCATGAGTTCAATTCTTGATATATATATATTAAAGAATCTATTCAAAAGCAATAGGAAAATCAGCATAGAACTTGTACACAGAAACGTGCAAAGAAAATCATTCTTAATCCAACCACTTGGAGATAACTATTTTAAACATTTTTGAAATATATATACAAAATGTATTATATACATATATAAACATATGGAATCTGTGCACGTAGCCATGAATACATGTTTAAAATAAAATAAAATAAGCCTCATTTTCTATATATTTATTGCTTTGTAAATTGCCTTTTAGAAACACTTTAAAATCAGTTAGTTGCTTTCTAAAACATAAATGGAGAGCTGCTTGGGACTTTACTATATGGTTGTATCACAGGTTATTTAATTTCTCATTATTGGGCATTTAGGATGTTTTGATTTTGTGATTATAAAAAACTCAATGAAAACTTTTCTACATTTAGTTTTTATATGAATATCTAATTACATATCTAAATTTAAAAACAGAATTATAATAACAAAGCTACAAAAATAAGGTTTTGTTTGTTTGTTTTTGTATCAGGAATTGAACTCATGACCTTGCACTTGCCAGGCAGGCATCATGCCGCTGAGTTATATTCCGGGCCCAAAAATAAGATTGTAAAAGATTTTTGACATGATTTTAAGAAAAGTTGTGTCATTACACTCCCGCTACCTCTGAGTTAAAATGCCCCTCAGCTCCTTCATGGATAAAATATTTAGATCTTAATCTGAACCTTTATTTTTGGCCTACTAATGAGACTTAACTTTTTTCATGCATTTACTGACCATATGTATTTCTTTCTCTTTTTTAAAATAAAATTCCCTATTTATGTCCTACGCTAATTTTTTTGGTTTATCAACTTCTTTTTTCATTTTGTTTGTAATGTTCTTAAGCTTTCATAAAATTTAAATTTTTATGTGTCAAATATACCAATTTTTTCCACATGAGTTTTTCCTTTGATGATGATGATGATGATGATGATGATTTGTATTTTTACCGGTACCAGGGATCAAACTCACAACCACAGGCTTAGTAAGGCAGACGCTTATGCCTGCTGAGCTAAATCCCCAGCCCCTATTTTTTTTTTTTTTTTTTTTTTTTTTTGGTACCGAGGATTGAATTCACACCCTTGCACCTGCCAGGCAGGCTCTTAGACCACTGAGCTAAGTCCTCAGTCCCTTTCCTTTGATTATTATTATTGGGTTATTTTTTAGGTAATGGAATTTGAAATACTAGCATTCTACCATAAAGCTAACCCTCCAGCCCTTTTATTTTGAGACAGCAGCTTCCTCACGTGCGTAGGCTGGCCTTGAACTTGTAATCATTTTGCCTTAATTTCCAGAACAGTTGGAATTACACATGTGCACTAGTGAATCGGCCTTCCTTTGCTTTTTGCTTAGGACATTCCTCCCAATCCGAGATCAAGCTTTTTTTAACACCACAATGGCTCTCTAACCGTTGTATCACTTTGGAATTTTATTTTGACAGTGAAGTGTGAGATAGAGTTCCAGTTCTCACCACCCAATCCAGTTCAGCTAATCAACTAGCAGAACGCTATCAATAGAACAATCCAATCACTGATTCAAACGCTGCCCTGGTCATAATTGCTGTAGCGTCTTCCGGGGATTTCATCTATTGAGGGTCATAGGAATGGGGCATGTGCGAGAATGAATTATTGCCACAGAATAGACAGTGCTATCAAAGGTGTCCACATCTGGACAAGCCAGAGGCTAACGAGAAAACAGTTGTGCCTGTGAACATCACGGTGGTTGGGGTAGATCACCATCTGCTACTGGATAACTGAACAAATGCTCCCCCCCCCCATAGTTGCTCATTAAAATACACACCTGGCGATTTGAATAAAGCAGGTGAAGAAAGCAGGACAATCATCCCCAAATGTTCTGTAGTGTAATTCCATAATCATCTTAAGAGTCCTCTGTCACTTAGGTCCCTTTTGCACGGGGTTTGAGATTTCAGGGGAAGTTCAGGCTCGGGCTGAGGTGGTCAGTTTCTGAGGCTATTTCGCTTAGAGAAAGCGGAACTGCATTTTCAGTGTGGAGCTCCCCGTGCCGGCGCTAGGACGACTGCAGAGCCAGCCTGGCCGGGCGTCTTGGCCCTGCAGCACTCAGCCTGGGCAGCCGAGGCAACCGCCCGGGAGGAAGCGCTCTGCTCCGGTGGTTGCGCAAAGCGCAGCGGTGGCTCGGCAGGGGAGCCGGAGTCCTCTTTTTCTTTGCAAAGGGCGGTTAAGAACGCACGGGACCAGGACGTTACTCTGCAACAGCAAGTTGCTCTGCGCCCTGAAGGTGCTGGAAAGACAAGAAAGTGAGCGCTGCCGGCCGCCAGGAGGAGGCGCCAGCTGCTCAGGACGCCGGCGCCCCGCGCGGCGACGCGCGCAGTGGCCGGGAAGGGGCGCGGGTATCGCGGGCCTTATTTCACCGCCAGCAGCAGAGCGAGCCTGGCGCCCGGAGGCTTCGGGAGCCTGCGAGGCAGGCGGAGAGGCGGTGACGACCCCGTGGGGGTGACGCGCGCGAGGCTGCGGGGGTCCCGCCGCGCGCGCCCGCGCCACTCCTGCACCTCTGCGCGGGCCCGGCCGGCCCAGGCGGCGATGGGGCTGCTGCAGCTGCAGCTCGTGGCCCTGCTGGTGTCGGGTCTCGTGGGGGCTGGAGGAGCTGACACGATCGGGAACACCAGCCAGGGTAAGGAGGGGATGCCTGGCTCCTGTGACCCCAAGTGGCTTTTGCATTTCGTGCAAGTGTAAGGTCACAGTTCCTCCGGGGTCTTTCTACCTAGCGGGAGCGGGTGGTGCACGCAGGGTGGTGAGCTCAGAAGCAACCTCCAGGAGTGCAGGTGGGAACTCCTGCTGCTCCGGAGGCCTTCCCGTCACCCCTTGAATTAGGCTGGGGAACCGGGAGGAGATAAGTACCATTATTACCTCCCGCTGGGAGCAGCCATGTTGGTGGCTTTAATTGGACGCAGGAACCGCTCCTTTGCTCCCTCGTGGGCCGTCCCTGCTTCTGGACAGCGAAGTTGGGCGAGGAGCGAAGGCTTTGGGGTGACTAATGGCTCTCCAAGCCGCGGCGGGCTTTTAGACTCCAGAAATCTTTTTCAAATTGCGATGTTCTGCAGAACTTGAGAAGAAAAATAGACTCAGGATGGGACTTCGGATTATGGGTCATGTGCTTCGTGGAAGGGCATTCGTTAGTGACAGCTCATGGTTTGTTAACGTGAAATGTAAAAAAGTCCAAGCTGTGCCAGGCTGGAAATCATGTGCTTTTCCGTGGTATTAAGCATATTCTGGGTTTTGCTTTGCGCTTGGGAGACAAGTTACAGTTCTGAAACAATATTTTCTGAATAATGGCATTGTGTTTCTTAATGCTGATCACTGAAAAGCCTTTGTGCAAACAGAAACAGAATCCCAGGATCTTTACATACAACTAAATCCAAATTTGAAAAGGGCAATTCTTCTATTATATTATGTTTTTACAGAAAAACCTGACTTGTGATAGGCACTAACATCCACCATGCGCAGAATGTCCCCAGCCCTTCTCATGTGCAATGTTCTTTAATCTCACAAGTCCATGAGATAATAAATCTTCTGTCCCTTGGCAGAGGATAAAACTGAGGCCTGAAACACTCATTACACAAATGAGCTGATAGGGTTTGAATGCAGGTGGTCTTCATGCAAATTTCATGATTCTGTTCTGCTTCCACAAAGCTTTTTTTTTTTTTCTTTTTTTTTAAGAGCGGGTCTCACTATGCAGTTCAAGCTGGCCCTAAATGCACTTTGTATCCTAGGCTGGCCTTGAACTTAGAGTGATCCTTGCTGCCTCAGCCTCCTGACTGCTGGGATTACAGGCGAATGTCACTATGCATGGCTTTACTAAACTGTCTTTTAATGAGACTATCTAGCATAGCATGGTGCTTTCTATTTCATCCTTCAGTTAATCTGCATCCCTCAAAATAGACTTATGAGGAAAGTAGGAGAGATAACAGGTATTTTAATGGGGGAGGAATTTGAAAACTGAGTTTGTGGTTGATCCAGCCTAGCCCTTGAGTCAAGGAGAGCTGGGATCCAAATGTTTTTATTTCTAGTTTGGTGCTTAAGTATCTAACTACTAGAATTTTTTTACATGAGAGTTGAGAAATGAGAGTAATAACTTGAGATATCCATATTTTTTCAGGTACTAGTTTTTGCTTCATTTCTTTGATTTCAGCCCTGATATTTCCTTAGCAATTAAAAAATTTTTTGCCTTGAATTAATGTTTTTATGGGAAATTTATTGCTAAGTGATAATAAAAGTAAATAGTCTCTACATCTTTTAGATAAAAATCAGTATAGAAATTAAGAAACAGTTCAAGATGTGCATTACCATCTTGTAAAATGCACATGTAGCTATTGAGGATTCCGATAAGGGTACCAGTTGAAGGACGTGAATTTAGAAGGATTTATTCATCTTGAACAGGCTAAATTGACTTGCAAAGCTTGAATAGTGACTCCAGTGCTAAATGAACCTTGGAAGTTTACAAATTGAGTTCTAGAATGTCTAAGGAAAGTGTTGCCTCTTAGCAGCTGGGCATAGGAGATGATCTGTACTTTGAAATAGTTCTTCTTTTTCTTGGAGTTCCATTTTTCTGTTCCCTTTATCATCTTTCGTTATTGTTTTAGGTTCATATCCAGTGATTCACATGGAATCACCTGGTTTTGGAGTTGAGCAGAATGTCATTTGGGCCGTTCAGTGTTTGTACTTTAAGGCAGCAGGCCACCTATGCCATTGGTGGCAAGTGATTGCCTTATTTCAACAGTATGTGAGAGCCAGGCAGTGACACATGCTATACTGCTACCTACTCAGGAAGCTGAGGCAGGAGGATTGCAAGTTCTAACTCAACCTGGGTAGCTGAGCGAGACCGTGTTTCAAAATCAAATAGATGTAACTCAGCACTTTCTGGGCTCAATTCCCAGTACTGCATGGAAAAAAAAAAGTGAGAGGTTATATATTCATTGTTATGTTTCCATTTTAATGTTTAGAGCTCATGAAAATTCATAAGAAGATAAAAATGAGAAATTGGGAGGGATTTTCATTTTTCTTCTTCCATCTGGAGAGAATGATGAAGACTGAGCCTTGACAGATCTCTCCTAGAATTTGTTTATTGTGTTGAAGCACCCGTAGTAGAGAGAAATGTGAGGTACATTTTTTTTTTTTTTTTGTAAAAATGGAAGAGATGGCAAGTTTTGAGGTTGCCAGGTGGGGATCTAATTAGGAAAGAAAAAAAAGATTAGAATTGAGGGGGGCACTGTTTTTAGAATGGAATTATTAGAAGGAAAAAATGACTTTGCATAAGATTAGAAGGTGTCCATGATAAATAGGAAAAAGTCCCCTTCTATTCAGATGGCAAAAACCCATTGTGGCAGACAGGCAGAGCCGCCCTTCCCAGAAGTGTGGTGTGAATGCTCCATTTTCTCATCTGCTGTGCTGTCTTTTTTCTCCCCGCTCCCTAAGTCATAAGATCTGATCTATGCCTCATAAAACGCTTCCCATGAATCCTTTTCCAGATGGCGTAGAGGTGAAGTTAAGCTCCTGTTAACTTCTGCAGGATATGTTCTGAGTGTGTGTCTTCTTCTGCCAAGTCTGTTTTTATGGGTAGAAATTAAGTGCAGTTTCTATCCAACGGTGCTGTAAAAGTCGTTTTGATTAACGATGAAAGACACTGAAGTCTCCTTTTCAACTTGATGCTTGTGATGTGCTGGGTGTTTCTGTGAATACCTTGGCCAGCTTTTTCCCAGAAGTTTGTTTGCAGGGCCGATCTTAGAATGACTGGCTTTTTTATTTTTTATTTTTCCTTTTCGCCTAAGGAGATGAGTCTTTGAAGCATCGCTAAGTGGATGGAAGTGAATGGTACTTTATTGGGTAGCACCGGACAGCTTAGAAACAATTTTCCCATTTGTTTGAAAATTTGCTTCAGCAGCTACCTGACTTGATAAAAAGCACAGTTACCTAATTCTACTAAAAGAAAACTGAAATGTAACAAAATGAGCTGCCTGTGGTCACACAGTTCAGTCATCACTCAACAAACGTTTATTGTGTGCCACGTAGGTGACTGGTACTGTGCCAGTCAGTAAAATATCAAGAATAGCATAGCAGATCCTAGAAAGAAACCTCAAGTAGTGTGATAAAAATGCAGCCTTCTGCAAATATTGTGAAACAGTTGTTGGGCTGCCAGGGTAACTGCGGAAAGATTGTCACACAGAAGTTAAAGATAAGAACAGGAGGAAATACATTTATTCTTCCCTTATTCATCATTACGGTTGGAATCATCCATCCTGGCTGAACATTAAATCACCTGGAGAACTTTTAAGAGCAGTTGGGACAGGGAAGCAAAAACTAGAAATTGACATTTAAAAGAAAAAATAAATTTGTAATAGCGCAAAGATACGTTAAATATTTAGCAGTAACAATACCTAGATGAGTGGGAAGATGCTACAATGTTCTTGAGAGAAATCAAGAAACTAAATAGAAGAATATTTCACATATGTCCATGAGGACATTTTTGTTGTTAAGGTATCATTATTCCCTAAATTATATAGATAATGCCGTTCCAATCAGATTCCCAGCAGGCTTTTTCTGTGTGTGGATATTGGCAAACTGATTTATAAATTTATATGGCAATAAAAGGGATAAAAAATAGTTGAGGCAGGGGCCAGAGGTTTAGCTCAGCGGCATAAGTGCCTGCCTGGCGAGCGCAAGGTTGTGAGTTCGATCCTTGGTACCAAAAAATAAAATAAAATAAAAGTAAATATATAAATAGTTGAAGCAGTTTTGGGAAGGGAGAATAAAGTTAGCACAGGAATTAAAACCACATAATGGTGGTGTTAGGACTAACAGATAAGCTAGTGGAACCCAGTGGGGAATCCAGATACACAGGTTGGTTCATTTGAGTTGTGTAACATTTGGAACTGTAGCGAGAGTTGGTTTTCTTGTTTTATTTACTGTAGCATTTCTTGTTTTATTTACTGTAGCACTAAGTTATACCTTTAGGCCTTTTTGGCTTTTTATTTTCAGACAGGATCTGGCGGAGTTACTGAAGCTGGTCTTAAACTTGTGATGCTATTACCTCAGCTTCTTGAGTAGCTAGGATTACAGGTGCACACCATCGTGCAAGGATATGGTTTTAATGAAAGTTGGTATCTCAAGTAGGTATATATGAAAAAGTTAGCCCAGTTTCACATCCTGCATTGAAATCTGTGTCTGGTTGATTTGAGACCTAACAGTGAAAGGGAAAACAAACTTCTAGAAATTAATACATGAGTGAATCTTCACCATCTTGGAATATGTTGGCAAAATTTCTTTAATACAAAAAGCTGGGCCAGGTAGCACACACCTGAAATCCCAGCACTTGGGAGGCTGAGTCAGGAGGGTCACTGTGAGTTTAAGTTTAGCCTGGGATACGTATCAAGTTCAAGGCCAACCTGAACTACAAAACAAGACCCTGTCTCAACCTCTCCACCCCCAAGAAAAAGCCAAAAACAGAGCCATGGGTGGTGGTATGCACCTGTAATCTGGGCGTAACTCTGAGAGACTAAGGCAGGAGAGCTGCAAATTTGAGCAGAGCCAGCACAAGTTGCTAAGGGCTGGAAACATTGTTCAGTGCAAAGGCCCTAAGTTCAATCCCGAGTACCATAAATAAGTAGATGAATAAATAAATAGACACTAAAAGGACTAATCATAAAGGAAAAGCTTGAGAAACTGGTCTATGTGGTCTATTTAAAATTGAAACTTCTGGAGTAGAGATTTAGCTCAACGGCACAAGTACCTGCCTGGCTAGCACCAGGTTGTGAATTTGATCCCTGGTACGAAAAAAATAAAATATAAAAATTAAAAGAATTGAAACTTCTAAAGTAGGCATCATACCACACATCTGTAATCTCAGCATTTTGGAGGCTGAGACAGGAGCATTGCTGTAATGAGTTAAGGCCTGCCTGGGCTACCTAGTGAAACCCTGTCTCAAAAAACCTCCAGATCAATCAACCAGTCAATCAGTCAACCAAACAAACTTCTGCCAGATGTGGCGGCATGCCTGTGCTGTCCTATAGATACAAGAGGCTGACAGGATTGTTGATAATTCTATTCATAGGTTCTACCCAATGGAAGTGTATGAATACCTGCACCAAAAGACATGTATAAAAATGTTCGCAGTTCTTTCTAATAACTGATCTAAAAAAACCAAGTAGTCATTAACAATAGAACAGAGAAATATGCTGTGGTATATTAGTTTATTAAGTATTATGGTTTCCTTAATACTAGAGTGAATTTTACAAATAAAACATTGATTTTTTTTAGCTACTTTTTTTTTTTTTCTTTCATTTTTATTTTTACCGGTACCGGGGATCGAACTCACGACTGCTTGTTTGCAAGGCAGGCGCTTATGCCGCTGAGCTAAATCCCCAGCCCAAAATATTGACTTTAAAAGCCAGACATGATGGAGCTCATTCTGCAAATTGCACTTATTTAAATTCCAGAAGCAAAATTTCTGTGTTTGTAGTTGGGATCATGGTCCCGTTTAGGGAGGGAAGAGGGACCGTGGTCGGAAGGGCAAAGAGAGCTCCTTAAATGGTGTTTCTTGGCCTAGGTCGTGGTTTTAGGCGTGTTCTCCTCTGGATTTACTTTGTGTACTTCTCTACATCTTAGTTTTATGAATACTTGTTGTTAAATGGAAACCTGGCCCTTACCTTCAAGGATTTTAATTTAACTAGTCAAGACAAGGGTTTCTGGCAGTCGTATCTTTTAAAAAATCATCTCCAAATGGTTATAATATATTGTCAGGATATATTGCAATTTATTTATGATAAAAACACTTTTTGATCTCTATTGGAAGTTTGAAAAATAAGGAAATACATAATGTAAAAAAATAACTTAAAGTGCACCCTTTGAGATATTTGCTCTTAATACCTCTGACTTATCTTGCCCTGGGGCCAGGCTTTAAACAGTACAACCAGGGTCCCTCCCTTTTACTATCTGGCTTCTGCATGGTTCCTGCTCCAGGCTTAGGAGGGATAAGGGGTTAGGGAGGCTTCATTATCTTGTAGCTTTCTGGAAGTTCAGGAACTTATGTGTGAAAGTACTAACCATTCCTGAAATGCTGGTTGTACTTCTTGGGAGAAAATGTTAGAAGTAGAAACCGCAGCTTAAATTTTGGGGTTTTTGATCATTAAGTATTTTCACTTGGGCTGTTCATTTTCATTTCTGAATTTCTTAGACTGGGAGGAGCCTTCTTAGACAGTTAATGACACTTAATGTCAAAGATCATGCGTTATGCTGTCACAGCCAAAAGCTCACGTAGATTGGTGCCTGACATACAAGCTTTCTTGCAGAACTATCTTATTAGTTTCTTATTCAGAGCAGAATAACAGCCTTTATTTTCATGACTGAAGGATTATTTGAATAATTATGCTGCATTCTCAGAGTAGAACACTAAATAGCTTCTAAATGACAAAACTAGAATTAATTTCTCTCTCTTTCTTCCTTCCTTCCTTCTTTTTCAGGGCCTCAAACACACCAGGCAAGGGCTCAACCACTGAGCTAAGGCTTCAGCCCCTAAATTATCGGTATTGTTATAGAAAGGTATCCAAGACCTATAAAATGCGCTATGCCAAACATTTATGTCTTTCTTCTTCTATATGTGTGAGAATAGGCATGTTGACGTCTGTCCAAATCCCAGAAGGCTGAATTGGCTCTCATACCCATGGATTCTGTATTGGCAGATGCAACCAAATCGAAAATAATTAGAAAAAACTGTGTCTCAACTGAATATTTATGTGCAGACTTTTTTTTCCCTGTCTCCTCTTTACTCCCAAACAATGCAGTATAACAACTATTTGCATAGCGTTTCTATTGTGTTAGGCAAGGAAGCCATCTGCAGTGTAAAGTATGCGGGAGGGTGTGTTGGTTATACAAATACTGCCCCATTAGATATTGGGGCCTGTGCATGGCAGATTTTGTATTTTTCAGGGTCCTAGATTCTTTGGATACTGAGGGCTGACTATGTACCAAGCTGTCGACGTAGTGATTTCCACACATAATGCTCGATGATGGGATGAACTTTCTGTACATGTAACTGTTCGCTATGAAGATTATGAACTGTTTAGAACAATATTACTATTTTAGAGAAAAACAAGCAACAGGTGCTGTGTCTCCCTGTCCCCACCCCATTTTGCTTATTGTCTCTCTGTCTTCTGTTTCTGTCTCTGTCTCAGTCTCTGTCTCTCTCCTTCTCTTTCTCTCTGTGGTAGAGATTGCACCCAGCCCTTTTTTTAAAGATTTTAAAATACACCATCAAGGTAGAGCTTGTACATCGAGTGCCATCAAGAATGGAGGCTTTTTTTTTTTCAAATCATGACATTTCTTTCTGATGGCACATCATGATCTCTAGAGAAACTCAAAAAAGAAGGGAATGGGTACAGAGAAGGAAAACCACATCATACACTTGCGGAGATACCTGCCGTTAATACCAGCCACTAAAAGAAGTCATCCAGCCACTAGTTGTTCAATGACCTATTTTAATTTCCACATCTCTGTGTCTCTTCGCTGTTCTAAGTTTCGATATTTCTTTATTCATTTGTTTTCCTTGTTTTTTGGTCTGGGAATTGAACTCGGGACCTTGTGCTTGCCAGGCAGGCCCCTGTGCAACTGAGCTATTTCCCCACCCCAAGTTTTGATATTTCTGAGTGCTGATTCACCCTCAGCCAGGGTGATAGGTTAAGGAGAGTTTGCCACTGGAGTTTCCCTAACAATGGCATTAATCTGTGCAGGGCTTTCAAAGGTTCAGGGCCAGGGGTTATGTCTTGGGAGACAGACACAGGATTATCGGAACATTTTCTAAAATTATACTGAAGGGCAAATCTGAGTGATAATGACAGCAGCCTTTTTGAGTTTCCTTGTAACAGTTTTGGTCACAGTACCCAACAGCCAGTGACTATTTTATAAATCACAAATATTTGCCTTATGGGGAAAAATGAGGGGGGGAAAAGTGAATAAAAGTGACAGTGGAAAAAGCAGAATACTACATGAGCCAAAGGCTTTAGCTTGTTAAAGGATGGAAGTCCATTTAATTGCTAGGAAAGTAAATTAATGTTGCTTAGTTTGACAGACCAGAAAGAGGATTTTTAAGACTTGGAAGACCGAAAATAAATAAGTTCAAAATTAAAGTGTAATATTAGAATTTTTTTAGTGCCATTTATTGAGATTCATTTGTATATAGTTTGGTTTTCTAATAAAATAATCATGATGATTGAAAGGCCTGGAAAATATTTTTGTTGTTTGCTTTTTAAAAAAGCCTCAGAAAAGTACCGTATGTTTTCCAGCCTTCCCTACTGGAATCTCCGTGTTTTATAGCGAGAGATGTTTTATCTCTAGTCCATTGGAGTTTGTCCATAGAAGATGTAAAATGTCTTTCTGGTTATATAAATAGGAGGCATTCCAGCCATCATTGTTCCACTATTTCAGATTTTCCTGACTTTTGAAAATTAAATTGTAATCACAGACAATCTTTTTTCCTATCATCAGCTTAAAAAAACCCTAAATTATGAAAGTAATATATTATTGTAGCGTTTGGGGGGCTATCTAATCATTTCTCTAGGTTTAGCATCATTTGTATGTATTTTGAGGGGGTCCGTTCACAGGTAGACTATTTTTCATAGTTTTTTTTTTGTTAATGGAATTTTGTTTTACTGTTAATAGAATGTTATTTTGTTGTTCCAATGGAATATTTGAATTTAGAAAAAAAAGCATTGAAAAAGGGTAAATTAGAAATGTGTTATTTAGTATCTGGAGTGTTGTTTTCATTTTCTTTCACTGTGTTTTGTTTTTTAACCACTCATTAATGAATTTCTTTCTAAAATAAGACATGATAGTTCTGCTAATGGGACTCTGATGAATTACAATCTTTATCTCATCAACTCCTTTTCATCTATAGTACATGTAAATAGCTTTTGCCATTTCCTATGTTTGTAACGCTCTTCTGCTGTTCATACAGGGATATCCTGATGGAGGGTTGGGGGAAGGTGTGAGTCCAGGACCACACAGAAGTAAAACCAGCCTACTCTGTGGAGTCCTTGAAAATTAGATCAGAAAAAGAAGAACCCAGTATGCAGCTAGGAGAATGATACAGTGCATAGAATCATGGACAGAGTAAGCTAGGGCAGCACAAGGGACTGAGCGCAGGGCCTCTGTGTTGCTCTGGGTTTTAAAATTTTGAGACAAAGTCTTGCTATGTTGCCAGGCTGGGCTTCAACTTGTGATCCTCCTGCCTCGGCTTCCCAGAGTGCTGGAATTGTAGGTGTGTGCCACTTTGCCTGGTTAAAAAAAAAACTCCCTTTTCCAAAATTCCTGTGATTCACAATTTATATGAAGTGTGTGGTGTGGACACTCATCAAACAGACTTACCAGTGTTGACAGGACCTGCTTTTGCAAGTTAGGTAATGCAATCCTCATTTGACAAGATAAGAAACACTGAGGCCCCAGGCAGTTGGCCAAGCTGCCTAAAACTATAAACAGGGCTCTAATTGAAGCCACCTGTGTCTCTTCAGACTGCTGACTTCAGCATTCACTGAATGATATCATTCTTCATTTCCAGCACTGTCACCATAGCACCCCAAGAGGGTTCTTTATGCTAACCCCAAGCTCTCTGTTCTGAAGAGTTGTTCTTCTCCTCACCACATGGGAAGCTACTCTGGGCTCTGAGAACTCACCCTCAGTACTTAGTACTGTTTAGGTCCTTTGAAACACATTTTTTTCCATTTTAGCCCTTGGTGCCACCATGTTTCAGCTGAATGACCTTGAGTACCCTCCCCCATGCTGACGCTTGAATTCAGGGCCTCTGACTCACTCTGCTCCCAGCACTGCCCCCAGACCTTGTCTCTACTGTAGGCCGCCATGTCCTCATTAGCAACACGGGAGCCATCATGGTATTTACCTCAAGGAGTTTTTCTGAGGGTTAGATTTGCACTCTATTTATAAGTACGATTTTTACAAATCGATGTTAGAGATACAGTCTTACAATGAAAACTTTCTCCCTTTGTAGGTTTTCTTGAATTTTCTGTGGGGAAATTTAGATACTTCCAGCTCAACAAGCCTTTTCCACAGGAAGCCATTTTGCATCATATTCCAAGCAACGTGAGTTTTGTCATATTCCAGATACATTCACAGTATCGGAATACCACAGTTTCTTATTCAAGGGTAAGTATAAAGAATTATTGTAGCAAAAAAAAATCATTTGATCTCTTTGGGTCTTATATTTAGTGTTAGCATTAGAATTTGGTGTTTAACTTTGTGTCTTAAATATTTAGAAACAGTCAAGATGGAATCTTGTCAGGTGAGTGACTGAGATTGGGCAAGGTGTGGACATCAGGCCTTTCTCGAGTTGCTTAGAGATGGGAAGCCGAGTGCTGGGAGAGGGGCCCTGTGCAATTCCCTGCGTGTACGTTTTCCTCATGATTTCTCACTTTTTCATTTTGTTACTCCAATGGGTCCTTCATGGTTTTTACCTGAGAATACATTGTACTGTGTTCCTGTTGTTGTCTGACTGTTCGGTATCTTATAGTTTATTAAAAGACCCTTGGAATCAGCCTTATACTTTGGAGTCTGACCTGTGAATAAAGCAATTATACCATTCAGTTCATCTCAGCCCTGTTTAACATGGTTAAGGACACTATCATAATTTTCATCACTAACTATTTTTAAAGGTAACCCAGATTTGGAAAGGTAACCCAGATTTGGAAAGTTTTGTAAATGCTTTGAATTACTGTAAGCTGTTGAGGATCTTCCATGTATATTTGGCCTCTATGATCCTTTAGACTGATGAATGGATTTCACTCCTGATGAAGTTATATTTTTTGATTTGACCTAAGCCCATCTTATAATAGTCTAGAGTTTGGTAAACAAAGCTACCTTGATGGAACTCATATGTGGTTCTACAGACACTGGTCCTACTGTCTTTCCTACTAATTATTTTGGTTGTCTTATTCCTTATTAACCTTACTGTGAAGGTTTTAAAACTGTGTATATAACCAAAAGAAATTTTAAAAAAGATTTAAAGAAGGGAAAAATGTGTGTGTGTGTGTGTGTGTGTGTGTGTAAGGTAGTTAATAAACTAGAAATGCAAGGGTTTGGCCAATAGAAAAGACAATAAATTATATCAGATGCAAGTGATAACAGTGTCTGTAATCCGTTGATTTTTCTGGAGTTCTTTGTAGCCAGAGCAGAATAAAACTTACTAAGTTTTATAACTTTCATGGACAGGAAAAAGCTTTCCAATTCATCAAAAGAGATTAAGTATTTTTTTTTTCTGGTATGAAATTCAAAGATAAAACTCCTATTTAGGTTTTTTCATAGGAGATACAGTAAAATAACACAGAGGTGATGTCTTTTTTGTATTTTGTATTTATTTTGGTACTAGGGATCCAACCCAGGGGTATTCTACAGTTGAGCTATGTCCCACTCCTTTTTATGTTTTACTTTGAGATAGGATCTCACTAACTTGGCCTGGCTGGTCTTGAGTTTGCTTGTGAGCTCCCTGCTTCAGCCTCCCAAGTAGCTGGGACTGCAGACCTCTGTCACTGAGCCCGTCCACACACTTCTGCCTTTTTGCTAGTTGTATTTTAAAAAAAATGTTTTTGAGGCAGTCTTCCTATATAATTAAAGTTTTTTGATAGGCAAATAATGATTTCCTTCTTATGACATCACAGCAAAGACAATATTTTTAATGATAAGTTTAAATTTGTTTTAACTGATACATAAAAATAGAATTCTCTTGGCAAACGCAAGGTCATGAGTTCGATCCCTAGCACCAAAAGACAAAACAAACAAACAAAAAACCCCAGAATTCTACATATTCATGGGGTACCTGTGTGGTACCTGTGTGGTGTTTCGATAGATGTATAAACTATATAATGGAAATGTCTGCCCCCTTGAGGATTTATCTTTTTATCATGGTGAAAACACTCAAACTCCTTTCTTTCTTTCTTTCTTTCTTTCTTTCTTTCTTTCTTTCTTTCTTTCTGTCTGTCTGTGCCAGGGATTGAAGTCATGACCTTGCATTTGCCAGACAGGTGCTATGCCCCTGAGGTATATCCCTGGCCCAGCTCAAATTTTATAACAGCCTTTTTTTTTTTGGTAAATTTTGCATAGGAGTGAAATCATATGGTACTTGCTTTTCTGTACCCAACTTATTTCACTTAATATAATTATCTCCATTTTCATCTGCACTGTCACAAACAAGAGGATTTCACTGACAGCCATGAAGATAAGAGAGAGCATGTGGACAGAGAAATGTACATAACTGGATGCTTGCTGTGTGCTAAGCCAGTGGTTCTAAAGGTCCTGAGGCCAGACACTAGGGACTCTCTCCCAGGAAAAGATGTAATGTCCTGGGGGCCTGTACATTTATGTCATGGAAAGATCCAGAGTGGGACTCTCTAGTCCCTGTTCTGAATCCTCATGTTTGGCTTCCATATAGTTAATTCTAACAATAGTACAATAAAGTAGCCACAATGCCATTTCTATATCTGAAACCAGATTAAGAGGTATGAGTGTGACTCATAAGGGACAGAAGTGGCCTGGATGAATAGCATCTTGGGCCTTGATCTCCACACAGCAAGGATCTCAGTTTTCCTTGGTTATCCCAGATTTCATTTCTTGGGTCATAAGGTCCCACTGCACATGGCTCTGAAAGGGAGCTGTCTTTCTGAAGACAGTTGTTTCTGTTTCCTGTGTGCTTCCTGATGTAGCATGGCACTGTTGTGGTTTCTTTTTCTTTTGAGTCATCATGACAGTTGATACTCCTAACCCCGTAGGTAATCAATTTCACTTAATGCTTGTCAAATTGAAACTGATCAGTCCCTTCCTCTTCCTCTTTTCTTAGCTTTACAAAGACACTGATCCTATTATGTCTTAGCTTAGCGTTTTGTTATTCAGAAAGCTTTCTAGATAGCTGGGCATGGGGAATTCTAGAAGGGAGGAGCGTGAGGAAAGATTAGGAAGGGGCACAAAGAAACTTTTTGGGATAATGCATGTATTCACAATCGTGAAATGCTGATGGTTTCATTGGTATCTACATGTATCAAATCCTAGCCAATAATGTATGTTATTATACAATAACTCAGTAAAGCTTTCTACCAACTGTGAAGCCCTAGAGGCCTGGGTTTATGTCTTTTTCTTGGTAGCCCCAGTACATAACGTAGTGAATCTTGATGCAGGCGAGCTGAAATGCTTCAGAAATTCACCATGCAGTTCCTGACCAAGGATCACTGCTGTGCACTAGGAAGTGGGTCTGTAGGAGGTGCTAGGTCACTAGAGCTCTGGCTTTATAAAACTAGGACCCTTAGAAAAGAGACCCCTCTCCCAGAGCTCCCTGTCGCCTCTCCTACATAAGGATATAGCTGGAAGTTGGCAGTATACAGTCCAGAAGATGACCCTCTCCTGAACTTGATCATGCTGGCACCCTGATCTTAGAATTCCAGCCTTCAGATAGCTAGAAAATAAATTTTTATTGCTTATGAATCACGTATTTTATGCTACTTTGTTGTGGCAACCCCAAGTGACTAAGACAGTTATGTGTCTTAAAGAGGCCTCCTGTGTGTGGGCGTGGCCACGTGAACCTGGGGATGAAAGAGTTCTTTACTTATTGGAGGAAGTTCTGGTCTTCTTCCCTTTTAGTTCTGAGACAATATGGAGCCGCATGTGACTAGTGCCTCCTTGATGACCTCGGTTGTGTCTGTGTGTTGCTCATTCCCTACTTGTGATGACCTTTATGCTTCATTGCAGACTGTCCTCCCCAGCACTTCTGCCACAGGCAATGACAAAGGACTGGTTTCCATTCTGAGACCAGAGCAGAGTACGTGCACTTGGTATCTGGCATCTGTAGATGCGAAGCCTGTCCAGAGTGTGGCCATTCCGCTCTCTTACTCGGAAAGAGGTAACCTTCCTGTCTTTGACTCCCTCTTACTCTGAGGACCATGGGATATGCTTGTGCAAATGGAAGAGAAGTCATTCTATTAAGGTTGTTACAAGTGCAATTTATTGTGTCAGAAATATTTTCATAGCCAGGGAGTCCAAGAATAGGCATTCTCGTTGAAAGCTCAGGTAGTGATTAAAAGCCATTTATTCACTCAAAAACACTTAAGGAGAAGCAGTAACACAGTCCTTAACTATTTAGTAGTTACCCTAGGCAGAGGCAGCAGTAAGCACAGGGTGATGAAGGAGAGTGTGCCTGGAGAAGGGTGAGTAGTGGGTGTGGCTGGAGCCAGGGTGTGGAGGGCCCTGTGTGTGCACGGTTTGCACTCTCTCCTGAGACTTGTCCTAGGGAAGCGTGAGGCTTTTTAGGCAGAGGTGTGGTTTGTTGCATCGCTTAGAAAGCTAACTCCAGAAGCAGTGAGCAGGTCGAATTGGAGAAGTCACAACACAGCCAGGAATCAGCACAGCTTTGAGGGCTCAAAGTGAGAAATGAGGATCTGAACAGAGGCACAAGCTAGGGGGTGGAGAAGAAGGTCTGAGCTGGAGATGTTTGGAAGATAGACTGACCAGTGACTGGGTTATAGGAAAGGGGCACAGGCTTCCTGTTTGGAAACGCAAAATAGGCATAGGAGCAGCGCTGTTGTGCTGGATGTTGCCTGGGGTGGGATGGAGAAGATGGTGACTTGGGTTTGGGACACCATGAATCTAAGAGGCCTGTGGGCCACCTGGATGGAAATGCATAGTGACCAGCACAGGCCTGGAGGGGAGGAGCAAGGTTAGATATTCAGTTCCATAGCTCCTAGTGAAAGCCGAGGGTGTGATTGAGATTGGCCAGGCAGGTGCTTAGAGATTTAGGAGAGAAAATAGTAGCAGGTACTTTCCTAGTGCTTGCTGTGTGTCCAGTAAGTTTCTGGTGGATACTTCCTTATTGCAGAGGAACATGTGCAGGACCGAGTGGTCCTGGAGATAGGAAAGCCCCGAGGTCCTGCCTTTAGAAGGAGTCAGACTACTAGATGACAGAGAGAGGTGACCAGAAGTGTCTATTTGGTAGAGCAAGGAGGAGTCATCAGCTGCCTTTAGTGCAAGTCCTTTTAGTGACATAGTAGCGATGAAAACAGTTACAGTGATCCAGGTGAGGTACAGGAATTTCTACTACTATTAAAGTTTGGGGATAGAGGGAAGGAAAGGAGCGGTGGGAAGTAAAGTACGTAGAAACTGAGCAGTTAGTAGGGAGGAAAATGTTATCTGTAACTAATGTTTAATGACCTGATAAAAAGCCACAGACTTTAGAGTTCCAGCAAGGACCGTGCATGAGGAAAAATTATAAACTGTGGAGCTTCAACAGGAATACAGTGTGATGAGTTTTTGTAAGCACAGGAAAGGAAGAACATAAAAAATCTCAAAGTTTTGGGGAAGTCTGCAGGTGATACTGAGGCAGACATGCCCTTTGCATGTTCCATTTGACCTGGAGAAACCCCCCACTGGAATTCCAAGACGGTGGAAACTGAGGCCCAGGGGTGAGAATGAGGTAGTGGTCTCTGAAATCTTTAAATGGGTTTACTTGCTCTGTCTTTTGTCAACTTCTCTTGAGTACACTATTGATGGTGCTTTATATGGAGCTGAGCTAATGTCAATTGACTTTCAAAGTTTGCTCCATGTAAAGGTCATGAAGAGGATTTCTAGCAGGAAAACAAGAGCCCATTTAGCCATATTATTAAAGTAAACTAAATTATATATCCAAATGTTGTTCCCAAAAGTGGTCTTGAGTCTTACTTTTACTCCTGCGTTCCCACACTGTTCCAGTGGTGAGGACAACCCCATCTGTCTCCCTGTTGAAGAGGCTGGTGAAAAGTGGACACTTTTTCCTCTCTTGCCCACTGAGCAACTTTTCTCTGTGGCAGTGTTTTTCCTCCTCTGTTTGTAGCATTGTAAGCTTTTTCAGAGGTCACAGACTCAACCAATAAAGTAAGAGCTTCTCCCCCAAGGCAATGCAGATTTTACATTTGGCACACAATTTCAGCACATTCTTGTAGCTCCTGAAAACCCCCTCTTGAATACTAGTTTAAGAATCTTTGCCTCCTGTAATGCTTTTAACTGGGAGGGCAGAGATTGGCAAACTGTAGATCACCAGCCAAATCCACCTTGCTGCTCGTCTTTGTGCATAAAGTTTTATTGAAACACAGCTATGTCCATTCATTTGCATATTGTCTTTGGTGACTTCACCACAAGGGGAGCGTGGGGTGGTTGTCACAGAGACCTGCAGACCTGCAAAGCCTAAAATACTCACTGTTTGGCCCTTTACAGAAAAGGCTTCCTATCCCTTGCTTACTCTCAATGAACTTTATTCTCTTTAACCTCAGTCCATAGAGCAAAGCAGAAGCTCTGTGTTTAATCTTTCACTTCTTTGGGGGAGTTCCTGTTAAAGTCTGGGTTTTTTCTGAGGTCGATTTGGATATATAAGAATTCTTCACTTAGTAACTTCCCTATTTTTCATCCAGATCCTATCCCTGGAGGCTGTAATTTGGAGTTTGATTTAGATATTGATCCCAACATTTACTTGGAGTATAATTTCTTTGAAACGACTATCAAGTTTGCTCCAGCAAACCTAGGCTATGCGAGGTATGACTGTCTCCCGTCCCCTAAAATTGCTTTTAGAACATTCATGACTAGATTCGGCAGCCTGTAGTTCTCTGTAGTAAAATTGACTTTTTTTTTTTAGAAGTTGAGTGATTAGTATAACTTAAACCTCATTACTAACATTTAACTGTCCTTTATAGCTGATATTCCTCCCCAGCACTTTTTTAAAAATTTTGAAATGGAAAAAGAATAAAGAAAAGATACAGAATTTTAAAACAAAATAATAGGAGATCAACAATGGTTAATATATTGCATATTGTTATCTTCAAAGTAGTTGCTCAGATTACAAGACATAGGCATGAAAAAAGTGATCAAACCCTGAATTCTTTATTTGAAGAGCCAGATTCGAGTTTGTTACAAGTTTGGAAGTACATCTTAGCTTTTGTTTGGTTTTTGGTTTTGAGTTTTGAGACAGAGTCATGCTTTGTAGCCCAGCCTGGAACTCGAGGTGATCCTCCTCCCTCTGCCTTCCAGGGGTGTCCCACACACCTGGCCACCTTAGCTTTTATAGAGCACTGTACATGTAGAGAGAATCTGTTCTGAAACATCGTTATGTTTTATAAAGATCATTTTTAATTTAAAACTGCCCGAGTTTCCATTTTAATAGAGTGATAATGTTGAATAACATTCGAATGCTTCCTTGTCTCTTCTGCCGTACCAAGCACTACATTCTCTGTCATTTAACCCTGACAATTTTAAGAAGTTAAGAGCAATTGCTCTTATGTTACAGAGAGGTCTTAGAGGGTAATAGAGGCAACTTTCCCATATGCACACAGCTACCAAATGGCGGTAGAATCTGGTTATTTAAATTGTCTCTCTGTGTCTTACAAGACAGTGCAGATTAAGTAAGTATCTCTTATCTGGCATGGTTAAAGTTCAGATTTCAGTTTTTGTGGATTTTGGAATATTTGCATACACTTTACCAGTTGAACATCCCTAATCTGAAAATCCAGAATCTAAAGCTTTTCATGTGTCAGATGAGTGCCAATCAGGTTTCAGGTTTTTGAGTTAAGAATGCTCAGCTTGTACCACAGAATAAGTTATGATCAATGAAGTTTATATGTTATAGCTCTGGAGGCTGAGGTCTAAGAGGAGGTTGCCAGTACAGCTTGGTTCTAGTGAGACCGCTCTTCCTGGTTTCACCCTTGTCCTGTATTCTTGTAAGACAGAAAGAGGACTAGAGAGCTCTCAGAGTCTGATAAAAGGGCTCTGATTCCATTCTTGAGAGCTCCACACTCATAACTGAGTTACCTTTGAGAGGCCCTACCTTCTAAGGCCGTCACACTGGGCATTGACTCAAAGCAGGAATTTTAGGAGATCACATCATTTGGTCCACAACACTGTGATAGTTTTCTCCAGAATGCCATTCATGCCTCTGTGAAAGGGGAACAATTAGATGGGAATTGTTGCTGCAGAGGTTTGAAATTAATGCTGGAGCTGTAGCACAGTGGCAGAGCACTTACCTTAGCATGCTCAAGGCCCTCAGTTCTATCCCTGGTAATAAAAAAACAAAGTTTTTAATTAGAGCTTTTGGCTCTTTTTTATAGATAAACCCGCATGACACAAGACTGATGTTCTGTTTTCTTGGTTGGCTTTAGAGACGTGACTCCTCCATCCTGTGATACTGGGATGGGCCAGGAGTTTAGGTGGAGGTTGCAGTACGATGTATATCAGTATTTTCTGCCTGAGAATGAGCTCGCAGAAGATGTGCTACTGCAGCACCTGCAGAGAATGGCCCAGGTGTTCCAGGTGAAGGCCAGTGCTGCGAAGGTAAGTCCAGCTCCCAAGGCACGTGTGGCTAGATTATGATGCTTTCATAGGGGCTGAGGAGGGGAGAAGCTACCCGGATCTTATTTCTTTACTGTTTTCTTGATATTTGATCACTTTATTCTTTTCTTTTCTTTCTTTCTTTCTTTTTTTTTTTTTTTTTTTTTTTTTTACTGTGTTTCCATTTGGAGAGTTATTGTAATCAGGGGTTATAAGGAGAACAACTAGAATCAGGACATGGAGTTTATAATATTGTTTTATAATGGTCACCAGGAGTTAACACAAGAAAATGCAGGAGATCTATCCACAACACCAAAGACATAGAATATTTAGTCAAGGGGCTGTGGATTTAGCTCAGTGGCATAAGCACCTGCCTTGCAAGCAGGCGGTCATGAGTTCGATCCCGGATAAAAATGAAGAAAAAAAAAAATATTTAGTCAAGGGCCTAAATCCCACAGCAACGTCCCACATGAGTCCAGATGAAAACCCAGAGCTCATAACAATGCCTCCCACGAGTCCAACTGGAGGTCCAGAGCCTACAAGAAGGACTCACACCAGTCTCTTTTATGAATCTGTGCCCTGAATGCCCAAAGGTCAGTGGTGGAAGCCAGAAAGTCCATGCTGGCAGGGTGAAGGAGCTATGCTGGTGGGATGAGGGTTCTATGCTGGAGCTGAGAAGTCACACTCACAACAAAGACTAAGGCTGTCGTGAAAAGCACCACAGCCATCCTCAGCGACACGGAGGTCCCAAGCTCCAACGACGACAATCACATTCTGGTACATGCCAGGAAGCAGTGTGACGAGCCCATCCTAGAGACCAAGCAGCACACGTCTTCCCCTCCGGAGCCAGGAAGCAATGCTCGACGTGAGGACCAGAGCTTCTCCAGGAGAACCAACGGCTCAAACAGCAATACATAGGAGAACCCACAATGCCTCAATGCAACAATTCATTAACGCCTTCTCCTTCTCCACCTATTTATGCTGGCAACTTTTCTCAGGTGGAGCATCTTTGCTCAGTGCCATGCTCATGTAATCCAGCTGGTGTTAAGTAGACTACTAGTTCTTAATGACAAGAGTCATTGCTAGTGGTATCCCAGAAAGATGTTGGCCTTTAAGGCGATGCATGTAAGCTATGTTTTCATTGCAGCTACACCTATGAACTGGTAATCTTGGGACATGCGTGGAAGTGGTGCTTAATTTTCTATGTACTCTAATAACTATTGGTTAAAATCTTTTGGCAAGTATGAAAGTTACAGTGTTTAAACAAAAATAGGGGCTGGGGATTTAGCTCAGCGACATAAGCACCTGCCTTGCAAGCAGGCAGTCATGAGTTCGATCCCTGGTACCGATTAAAAAGGAAAAAGACAAAAAAAAAAAAAAAAAAAGAGAGAGACAAACTGAACAAATTCCAGTTGATGAAAGAAAATTCTTTACAGAAGAATGCCAGCTATAATATATAAAAAGAATCTGAATCAGAAAGTCACCAGATGGTTGTGCTGGCATACACCTGTAATCTCAGGAGTATTTAAGCCCAGTCTGGCGATTCCACAATTTAGTGAGAGTGTTTCTCAAACTTTAAAAAAAATAAAAAAGGACCCGGAGTGTAGCTCAGTGCGGAAGTGTTGAATCCTGAATTCAATCCAAGGAATACAGAAAGAAGATGAAGAAGATAAGATGAAGATGAAGAGAAAGATGAAGAGGCAAATGGAAAGTCACTATTTTGTGGCACCTCCCCACTGAAAACATTCAGGCAGGGATTATCAGGTGAACTGGTTTTGGAGAACAGGCTATTTCACGCCACAATTTCAGTTGCTAAGCAACAGCTTCTTCCAGGGTGAAACAGTAGCACAATGTGAATCTTACCCCGGTGGTCAAAGCTAGTTCCACTGGAAACAAGTCAGCCCACATGGATGCTCATGTAGAATGCAGTTGGAAATCACCACCACCGCTTGGAGGGTACTCTATCGGAGATGCTCAGCCCAGCCAAAATAGAAAACGTCCAGCAGCAAAAACAAAATAAAACAACAACAGGAAGTGAGTTAGGGGAGATGGAAACATGCTAGATTATAGACAATTATGATGTATGCAGTTTATTATGTTATTTTTTCACGTTTTTCAGCGTGGTTTGAATTTTTCGTGATTAAAAACTTGGCAGAATAGGTGGTAAGGTTAACATTTTGTTGAACTTGACTAATCCTTTGTGCAGAAAACTACATATATTTTGAAGGCTAAGAAATAAAAAAGAAGAAGAAGAAGGAAAAAAAGAACAGTGCCACCTTTCTAAGAGGTTCAAAGCTACTCACTTTGAAACTCAAATTTTTCTGTGTATTGTGGCTCCCTAGTGGATATATGATTGTACTATTAGCATTGAAAGTCTAAAGAATGACATTTAAAATCTCTAATTTCTTTGTATTTATTTATTTTTTGGTACCAGGGATCAAACTCAGGACCTCGAGCTTGCCAGGCAAACGCTTATACCACTGAGCCAAATCCCCAACCCAAAGAACAGCCTTTAAAAGAAATATTTGAAGTTTCATACTACTGCATGACAAAGCAGTTGGTAATGTGATCTTATTTGAGAAGCTGTGAGACAAAAATAAATTGGTTATCTATAAGATGTTAACAAGCCATCTGTACAGCTACTAGTAATAGATGCCATTTTTTGAATATTTACTTTGTGCTAATAATCATATGTTGGGGACCTGGCTGAGACCCCTAACTAACTGCAGGATTATAGTGAAAGGATGAAATAGAAACAGCAACAAATTTAGTAACAAAAGAAGGGGGTGGTGCGAGTTCAGTGCCTCAGGATGGGCAGAGACAAAGACACTCCAAACCTGCCACTACTTATTGGACATCTACAATGACAGGAGTTAGGGGAGGAGTCAAGGTCAACCAAAGACTCCGAGGTTGAAGACTTAGAGGCAAAAGATAATTTAGGATGACTCAAGAGAAATCTTGCCTTCGAGTGCTTTTTAATCTAGTGGTTTTAGTTTAGTTTTAGAGGATGGCCCATCCATAGGAAGTATGGGAAATCTCAAAAGGGCGATACCAGTAATCCCAAACCTCCATTTATCCCTTAGGAAGTGTGCAGGATTAGCCATTGTGAATTTGTGGTCCTTGACAAATACTAAGTATTAAAGAGAGTAGTGAACAAGTTACAAATGATTCCTATTCTTAAATTGCTTCAAATCTAAGAAATTAAAAACTTTTTTTATTTCTTCCAATTAGCATTTACCCATTATTTAAACCACATTTTACTTAAGCTACTAAAATTCAACATACTACAAAGAAATCTGTGGAAGCCTTCTGTATAGGTATTTGTCTCTATTAGCACATATAAACTATATGGGCTGGTCTTTTGGAAAAGTGAAATCAGTTGGTGTATATTTTAAACAAGAAATATAATTTAATATTATGTGTAGGAGCTGGACATGGTGACGCATGCCTGTGATACCAGCATTTTGGAGGCTGAGACTGGAGGATCGTTGCACGTTTGAGACCAGCCTGGGCTATAAAGTGAGCTCAAGTCCAGCCTGAACTGCAGAGTGAGACCTTGTCTCAAAAAAGAAAAAAAGAAAAAAGAAAAAAATCTATCATCTATCTTTCTGTCTATATATATTATATGCAGGTAGGCTTATAATAAAATAGCTTTTAAAAAATCTAAATATTAATCATGTATTATTTTTGGCTTTAGGTGGTTACCTTGACAGCTAATGATAAGACAAGCGTTTCCTTCTCCTCCCTGCCTGGACAAGGAGTCATTTATAATGTCATTGTTTGGGACCCGCTCCTAAATACATCTGCTGCTTATGTTCCTGCTCACACATACGCTTGTACATTTGAGGCACGGGAAGGCAGCTGTGCTTCCCTTGGTGAGTGTGTGGGTTTAAACTTTGATCAAGTTATCTCTGGCTTGGCAGTTCAATTTCGACTAGCATTGAACAAAGAATGACAAAAGAAGCTTTTGCCTGGTTTGGGGGCATTTTTTCTACATTGAGTCCCTAACATTGGTCAGTGAGTGATCTAAGCAGTGAATAAAAGCCAAAATACAGGTATATTTGTATATTAGTGAGAGATAAGCAAGATAAATTTATAAAGTATAGAATACATGAAAAAAATGCATGACCACAAGAAGAAAAATAAGAGAGAAAGTGTGTGGCCCAGAGAGGGAACTGAGGCGCTGGCACTGGAGAAGGCTTTGAGGGCAGGATCTGTGGGTACATGTAGGGGTGGCACCAGCCACACAGAGGAAACAGCTGGTACCAGGCCCTGCTCTGAGCCTGCTGGGGATCTTCAGAAAGGCCGCCAGGACAGTGGGTGGAGGAAGACAAGAAATCAAAGGTAGAGGCAGGGCAGGCGGCTCAGAGGGTGACCTTGTAGATCACAATCTGGACCTTAGCTTTTATTCCAAAGGATGTGGAAAGGCAGTGGAAGATGCTGAGCAAATAATCCTGGTGATAGAGGGGAACGAAACTCCCAGCCTACTAGATGTCTGGTACTAGTATGTGTTCTCTAAAATTGAGGAATGAATTTCAGGAACAATGGAGGGAAAGAGCAGAACATATTTATTGAGAGAAAGAAAGCTTCTGTCTGAGGGACACAAGGGGTCCCGAGCAGGTTGCCAAAGACTCTTTTTTAAAAGAAAAAGTAAAATCCTGAGGTTAGATGTGGTCCAATGTGGGAAAAAATGGGAACTCGCAAGGTGGGAAGAAAGTGGGACAGAATTATCATTAGCCAATAAGTTTAACTGTTTAGTAAAATTGATTAAATTGGGAACAAATGGGGAAGCGAGTCACATAGTAAGCAGGATGCTCAACAGCGGTGACTCTTCCTATAGGGGGTTAGGATGCTGACTTCCGATTTGCTGGGGTGATAGAGAACTATTTGGACTGTCAATCCTCAGGATGTGGTTGTATTTGCTTTCCTTTTGTCTTGAGAGCTGGCCCACAGTGGAAGGTGTTTGTCTCCTCCAAGGCTGCAAGGTATCTGGGCTTCTGCACCCGCTCCTTTGAGGGCCCTGCCCTGTCTGACTGCCTATAATATTTCTAACTAACTCAGCTGCTTGTAACACTGGGATCTGATGTACTTTGCTGAGATCGCAGGCTGTTTTGAGAGAAAGGACAGAGGTAAGAGCAGAAATAGCAAGAGTGATTAAGAGGCCACTGACTTAAGTTAGTCCAGGTGAGAGGTGGCAGTGATTGATGCAGAGCATGGCACGGCAGGCGGGGCAGATCTATGTGTGCTCATGTGCACGGTGAAGCTTGAAAGCGCATCAGAAGAGATGCAAAAATAATAGAAAGCCTTTTTTCACAATCTTCACCCTGATCTTGTTAATGTGATGTTTTCATTTTTTCATTGTGCAGCCACATGTATACATATGTAATATTTTTAAAATCTAAACCTTTTGAGAATAAATTACACAGATAGAGACCTTATAGTTTTAAGTACATCTATTTGCTTCCTTATGATCAGAATCACAAAATTAACATCGGCACAGTACTACCACTTAATCTATAGGGGTTATCAAGTTTTATTAGTTGTTCCACTATTAATGTCCTTTAGAAGCCAGAAGTTTTTCCCTTGTCCAAGGCCCAGCTCAGCGTCCCACTGTGCTTTTGATATATCCCTGATAATCTGGAACAATTCCTCACTGTGTATTTGTCTTCCAAGTCTTTGACCTCTTTTGAGGAGGATAGCCTGTTTAGTGAGTTACTTTGATGTTCCTAGCATTTACATTTACGTGTTTTTGTAGGAGGACCCAGGAAGTGGTGTTGGATTCTTCTCACTCACTGTGTCTGTCTGCTGCTATGATAACCATGATTACTTGGTTAGTGGTGTCTGCCAGGATCCCCCATCATAAAGTCATTGTCTTTTCTCTAAGTGTCTTTTGGATGATAATTGGAGTACTTGTAATCTCATTCTCAAACTCTCACTTGCTAATTTCAGAATCTATTGATCCGTGCCTGAAACATTTGTGGCACTTTTTTACCTTTGTCCAGGGAGTGTTTCGCATTTTCCCAATGAGTGGCTGGATGTGTTTTGAAATAGGATATAAATGGGAATGGGTATTTCTATGGGTATAGAACTCAAGAAATTGAACATCTTGCATAGTTCGTTGATAGCAGAAGTGGCAAATAGAAAGGTAGGGTTTTGTTTGTTTGTTTGGTTGTTTTGGTGTTTGGCAGTACTGGCTGTCAGACTTGGGGCTTTGCTCATGCTAGTCTGATGGTCTACTACTGAGCTACACCCTAGCTTGATGGTTTTTGAAGGCAGTAGGAGAAAGTATTTCAAGGGAGATAGCGCTAGAGCACGGTGTGGTGGTACATGTCTGTAATCCCAGCACTTGGCAGGTTGAGTCAGTAGGATCTCCTTGAATTCGAGGCCAGTCTGGGGTACTAGTGAGTTCAAGGATGGTCTGAACTACATGCTGAGACCTTGTCTCAAAAATAAAAAATAAAGAAGATGGAATTGGAGTGATCAATTTGTCAGATACTGCAGAGGGGTCAGCTAGGAGACTGAAAGTAGCCACTGGTGTCAGCCACAAGGGAGGCCCTGGTGCGAGGCAGAGCTGTCACAGTGGGGTGGCACATACATGTGCGGAAGAAACAGGGGGACGGAAGTGGGAGAAGGAATTCAAACAGCTCTTTCAAGGAGTTCTGCTCTCAGAGGAAAGCCTGTTAGCTGTGCTGGTGCCACGGATTAGGGTTCTCTCCCTCCGCTAGAGCTGTATCCCAGTGTTCAAGAAAAGAAAAATTGAAGCCTCCACAGCAAGAGGACTTTTCTCAAAGGGAAGAGCATTGTAATAGGGACTTTGCAGTGGGGTAGAGAGATGGCACTCAACTTTCCAGTGCAGCTTGGGAGAGGAGGGATCAATGGGTGGAAAATTACTCAGAGGACATGAGGGATGTGGATGATTCTGTCTAAATTGAACTAACAGGATTCTGCTGCAGACAGCCCAGGGTAATGAGATACCGCCTACGGGGATGATGGAGGATGAGAAAGTGATCAGATATGGAGGGTGATCAGATAACGGGGCAGGAGTCCTCGCTAATCTGATTGATCAGAGTTTGCTGAAATTGAGTTTTACACGGATGTGCACAGATGGTACTGTGAGAGGGTTCGGGAGCCTGACAGAAAGTGTGGTCACGCGAAGACTCTGTTACCACCCAGGCTTCAGATCCTTCACAAGTATAATGCAAGAGACCCAGGCAGATATAAGCATGGTTTTCTTTTTCATGGTACAGAAGATTGAATGCAGGGCCTTCACACTGAGCTACACCCCCAGCTTTTTTTCTATTTTTTATTGTTAAACAGGTTCTCAGTCACTAAATTGCCCAGGCTGGCCTCAAATTTGAGATCTTTCTGCCTCGGCCTCCCTAGTGCTGGGATGATACTGCCTTCTGTTTTAGTCACTTTCTTAACACCGGGATAAGTACCTGGCACCCATAGTTTAAAGGAGGACGGGTTTATTTTGGCACATGTTTGAGCTGGCAGGCTCCAAGAAGCTGCACATGGCAGGGCAGGAGGGAGGCAGAGAACAAAGGGAGAAGTGAGGAGGGCCATAAATCCTTCCAGGCCAAGCCTAGGTGACCCACATCTTCTGACCAGCTCTCACCTCCTAACAGCATTAGCTGTGAGCCCCAGTAACCCAGTCACCCTCCACAAGCTCCATCTTTGAGCACATGGGGCTTGGAGGGACATCTAGACATACGCAATAGCACATTGTAATTAAAACCTCGGCCTCTGCATCATCGCCTCGAGTGAAAATGGTTAAAGATGCTCTAAACTTGACTCTCTCCTGGCCTCCTCTTATATCATTTCTAGATTCTACTTCTTCTAGAACCTTCTCTCCTTTCCAGTTTTACTTGAATAATTTTCTGTGATAGGGAATTCTATTTAGAGTTAGCTACGTCTATGTAGTTTCTATTGGGTTGAAATATGTTTCTATTGGGTTGAAATATGCTTTTTAAAATTTTTGTAATTTTATTTTGGGGGGGATTGGAATATCTTGTTTTTGTTTTTTTTTTTTTTTTTTTTTTTTTGTGGTTCTTGGGATTGAACTCATGACCTCATGCTTGCCAGACAGGCACTTAAGCCACTGAGCTAAATCCCCAGCCCTTTTTTATGTCTTTTTGAGACAGAGGTTCACTATGCAGTTCAGGCTGGCCTTGAGCTCACTTTGTAATCCAGGCTGGTCTTGAATTCTCAATGATCGTCTTGTCTCAGCCTCCCGAGTGCTGGGATTATAGGTGTGTGCTACCACGCTCATATTTATCTTGCTGTTTTGGTGATTGGATTTGCTGGAAACTTTTGCCACATTTTCAGTTGAAAATAGTCACCCCACTCAACTCCAAGTTTTAAATACAAAAATTAAGTCTTAGGAGGATAGGTCTGAAATAAATAAAATGTAGTGTTTTATCTTTCTCTTAGTATTTATTGGGCTCCTGATTCTCAGAAAAGCTGATACCCAGGCACCGTAATGACTTGCAAACTCTGGTCGTGCGTCTTGTGTTTCTTATTTAACTGTATGTCTTGTGGTGCCTCCATCTGCACTTTTTTTGGGTGGGAGGTAACTGGGGATTGAACCCAGTGCCTTCACATTTAGTTACGTCCCAGCCCTTTTTTATTTCTTGAGACAGAGTCTCTCTAAGTTTCCAGGTTCCCAGGATGGACTTGAATTTATGATCATTCTGTCTCAGCCTCCCAAAATGCTGGGGTTACAGGTATTTTCCACCACAGGCAGCTCCCTGGAGCATTTCTAAGCCTTCTGATGTGTTTATTTTGTTGCTCTCGTAACGTTTCCTTGTGTGCTCGTATAGGTGCGGGTTTTTGTTCTTAGCTCAGGAATTATTTTCTTGTATTTATTGCAAAGGCATTGTGATGATAGCAAATTTAGTGAGCATGTTTTTCTTTTGATTTAAACTGTATCATGCGCAGTCTGGGTAATTTAGCAATTTAGGGAGATCCTGTCTCCAAATAAAAAGTAAGAAGAGGCCGGGGGAGGTAGTTCAGTGCAGAGGCCTTGGGTTCAGTCCCCAGTACCATAAATAAAATAAAATAAAATAAAACTGTATCTTTTGAGTAGTCATGGCATTTAAAGTTTATACCTATGAAAGTGGTGGATTAGACCTTACAGATTTTTGTCATCACCAAGCATATTGTGCTTTATTTTGTTGCTTTAATACAACATTTCCCCTGACGCAATATGTATTTATAAGTCTGGAAGTATTTTGCTTTAAAGTGTAATGTAAGTTCTTTTAATATGAAATTGGATATTTTAATTGTGGAAACTTCAGTGAGCCTCTGTGTATGAATCATTGAGCACTAACAGTTTTAATTCATGGCCACCTTTCTATTTCTGCTGTCAACCCACTTACTTCTCTGTGTCTTTTGTCACCAGTTTATTTTAAAGCAGATCCTTGGTCTTCATTTTCAGTAAAAATCCATATATATATATATATATATATATATATATATATCCATATATATGTCTTAAAATTTAGTATTTCAGAAAGTATTTAATAAATGTTTAAATACATATATATCTTTTTATTTTTAAAGAGAAAAAACAATAAAAATTACAGAATTTCAAAACAAGATAATAGGAAATTAATAATAGTTAACATATCATATGTTACCATCTTCAAAATAGTTGCTCAGATTACAAGATAGAGACATGTATAATTGATTAAACAATATAAGCACAAACCATTTTTTTAATAAACTAAAAAAATCAGTAGCATAACTTTATTAGCTATCTTTTTATATTTTTTTATTTTAAAGAGAAAAAAAGAAGCAAAAATAAAAACCCTAAAACAATAGCAATGTAGAATTTCAAAACATGACAGAAATGTAACAATGGTTGTTATACTGCATATTGTTATCTTCACAAGAAATTCTCAGATCATCAAATACGGTCATGCAAAGTCAGTCAAATAGTTTTTTTTTCTTTTCCTTTCCTTCTTTTCTCCTTTCACCCATCCCAGTTGTTTTTTCCTCTTGAGCAGTTTCTGTTACTTTCACAATATCTATTGTTCATTTTGAATCTTACTTTTTCTGTTTCTTATACTAGGGTGACAGTATGGTGTTTACACATGTGAGTCTGATTTATTTCACTTATGAGTAAGGTCTCAAGTTACATTCACTTCCTTTAAAAGCCTTGAGTTTATCTTTCTTTATAACTGAATAGTATTCCATTATATAAAAATATCATCTTTTTTATCCATTTATCAGTTGATAGACATTTAAGTTGTTTCCAAGGTCTAGCTATTGAAAATTGTGCTGCTATAAACATGGCTGCATATATATCATTGTAGTACAATGTTTTTAATTCTTCTGGGATAATACCTAGAAGGGAAATAGCTGGGTTGAATGGGACCTCCAATTCTAGTTTTTTGAGGACTCTCCACATTGATTTCCAGAATGGTTGTACTGATTATGCTCCTACCAACAGTGGAGAAGTGTTCCTTTTTCCCCACAGCCCCTCCAGTATTTGTTACTGGTTGATTTATTGATAACAGCCATTCTTTCCAGAGAGAGATGGAATCTGTGTTGTAATTTGCATCTCTGGAATGACCAGTGATATTAAATATTTTTTTCATATCTTTATTTGCCACTGATATTTCTTCATCTGAAAAATGTGTATTCATCTCAGATGCCCGTTTTTAGATTGTGTCTTTGAATTTAGGGGGCCCAATTATATCTCTTGAAGGTAAGTATTGGGACCATTTCCACAGTCCAGTTATCAAGTACCCCCACAGTGAGTCCCCAGTCTCCTGCCTGGAGTAAAGGCATAAGAAAAAGCAAGAGATGCTGGGGATTTAGCTCAGTGGCATAAGCACCTGCTTGCAAGCAGGCAGTCGTGAGTTCGATCCCCAGTACCGATAAAAAAAAAAAAAAAGAAAGAAAGAAAGAAAGAAACAGCAAGAGACAAACTAGGGGTGTAGGCAGGGATCTGAGGTGACCAGTTGTTCTCAGAGAACAAGAGGCTACAAAGAACCCAGGATCAGGGTATTTATTCACTGCCTCTGAGTCAAGGACAGTGGGTGTTTCCAGGTACAGTAATGGTGACTACCTTGGGCTGTAACAAGACCTAATCATTCTTTCAAGGACAAGGACAAGGACGAGATGCAGGCACTGTAGTTTCCCCAGATGCCTGATGGTCTCCATGGATCTGATCTTGCCCTGTGAGCACCAGCAGTCATTAGCCCTAGGGTCTCCAGCTGTCACTAGGAAAGAGCTGGGCGTTCCCCATCCAATCTGGCTCAAGGGCAGGACCAGAACAAGCCTGGACCCTCTAGACTCAATTTATAATTCGTGGTCCCCAACAGGTAGGCACTGTTTAAAACTGTGTATAACCACCACGTCATTATCACAATTTTCAGCTCAAGTATTAAAAATAATTGCCAAATAGCACTGAAATGAACAGATGGGATTTATAATTCCCCATCATCTGTGTTTTTCACAGTTTGATAAGGTTTTGGATGAGGTCTATACATTGTCTTTAGCTGATGCATCTCATGAATCTGTACTAATTCACAGCCCCCCCCCATTCCTTCCAGTTTACTGAAGAAACAATTGTTTTAGGCTGTCTGCTTGCCTGCTTTAAGTCTTTCTTTTTCTTTCTTTCCTTTTGCTAGCCCTCTACCCCAAGACTATTACAGGTAGTGCTGTATACCTCAGCAGGGGAATAATGCAGTGTAATTTTCTGCTATCACCATGGTAATGACCAGCTAGACCTTATTTTCCTGTTAGGTCTTATTTTTCAGGGGAAAAAAATGGTATTAATTGCCTGCATCAACTCATGAGAGGTGACAAGACCATCTTAAGGATAAATTATACACATGTAGAGTAAATGAATGTCATCTTGTTTTGCTTTTTTGGTGATGTTTTATTAATTAAATACGAAGTGTGAAATTGCATGTATTATTCACTAACTTTTCACTGTTTTTTAGGAAGAGTCTCCACCAAAGTGTTCTTCACTCTTTTTGCCCTGCTTGGTCTCTTCATTTGTTTCTTTGGACACAGATTCTGGAAAACAGGTATCACGTATGATATAAACGGGGTTAAGCTGCCTGTAGACTTTTGTCTTAGGTGCTGCCAGGGAATGTATTTCTTGGAAATCTATGAAAAGAAAGAGTGCCTCTCTCTACTGTTTTCATAGATTTATGGTTGGATTCTTTTGATAATTTACTGAGTTGTTCCACATTTTAATTTTTTTCTTTTTCTTAACAATAGAGTGCAAAAAAAAAATTTTTTTTTTTTGGTACCGGAAATTGAACATGTCGCCTTCACACTGAGTTACATCTCTAGCCTTTTAAATGTATATATTTTTAACTTTTGCAATAGGATCTCACTAAAGTTGCCAAGTCCCCAGGCTGGGTTCAAATTTGTGATCATCCTGTCTCAGCCTCCCAGAGTGTTGGGATTACAGGTGTGAGGCACCATGCCTGGCTGTAACCTCCTCTTATTAAGGGAGGGATAAAATTTGGTTTGTGTGACAAACATCTTAAATTACTAGATATGCTAGTTGGCTAATGATAGCTGATATTAGAAATCAGGGTGTCTGCATAAAAATGTGTGTGGATTTGGTGATGGTGATGGACTTGTTTTCATATTAATCAGGTTCTGAGGTGTGGTAGATAGTGAACGTGAAGTATCTGCTCAGTCTGGGAGGTTCAGTTGCCAAAGGAAACTTCAGAAGCCACAGAGTGAGACGTGGGGTGGAGAGTGGAATATAAATTATGCCCACTGAGTTAGTTTCAGTATCTTGGCTGCCCTTTATGCAATGTTTTCAATCACAGACATTCTTCCGTTATCAACCACAGTGCAGTCCCCCACTAGATCAATGAATGAATTGGTCATGAGGAATTGTCTATCATAGGTACATTTTAGTATTCAGAACAAAGAAATGGTAAAAGATAACTCCAACTTGATGACTTTATTATTTTTTGTTTGTTTGTTTTGTTTTTTGTTGTTGTTTGAGACAGGGTCTCTTTATGCAGTTCAGGTGGGCCTTTAGCTCACTATGACCCCAGGCGGGTCTGGACTCATAATGATCCTCCTGCCTCAGTCTGCCAAGTGCTGGGATTACAGTTGTGTGCCACCACACCTGCTGATGATTTTGTTTTTTACTTCTTTATTTATTGGTACTGGGGATTGAATTCACCACCTTGCACTTGCCAGGCAAGCACTTGTGCTGCTGAGCTAAATCCCTGGCCCTGATGACTTTGTTTTGATTTGTGTGATTCTTATGTGCAATACTGTCATGTACAACAGAACATAAAGCTATAGAACTATATAGTACAATTAGCAAAAATTACAATATTGTGTAATCAAAGAATGCTGTACCAAAAAAAAGACATTGAGCATCCATAGATGTGCAGAACTGTACCAAACTCCTCTCCCCGTCCAAAAAATGGTGGTTTGTTATTTCATGCAAGGAGTCCTAGGTCCACGCTGCATGCCCCAGTAGCAAGCCTGGACAGCTGTTAAACATGTAAATCATTAGAGGAGGACTATCAGTACCTTCAAAAGGTCCTTAACTAACATAGGTAACTGAGCGTGATAGGTAGAATGAACATGATCCTAAAAAAAAAAAAAGAAAAGAAAAATGGGGATTGGGGATTTAGCTCAGTGGTATAAGCACTTGCCTAGAGAGCGTGAGGTCGTGAGTTTGATCCCTGGTACCAAAAAAAAAAAAAAAAAAAAAAAAAGAATATGCTCCTTATGTAATGAAGCTCTTTGAACCTGGTATAACAGAGTTTGAAAAAGCACCTCCCTTTCCCTCTGTTAGGGGAATTTTCTTAGAGTCTTGTGAGGCGTATTTAATCCCTGACAGTGTAGAAGGATTCCATAGCAGAGAATTTAATTACTATGCTGTGGGTAAAATCCCAGATACTACAAGTTGGTTTGTTTTTTCTTTTATGTTGATACATATTATTCTATTTGTGTTAGAACTGAGTATAAATATTAATAGTAACAACTAAGCAGAATTTAAGAAATATATAGCGCTGTGCTGCCCATAGTCAGGATTAGGCTTATTTGAAGGAGACAGAATTATTTGTAGTTTTGTATTTTCAGGTGTTTAATGGATTAATATAAACCGATGATTTAAAGGAAACATCATCCTTTACTTTGGGATACTTAAAAAAACCTTCCACCTTTTATTTTTGCTTATGTAGCATCAAAATTTAGTGTCTGATTTCAGATGAGACACAAGTGACAAAACACTAAAGTAGAAAATATAAATGTATTAAGATGAGCTATGACATTAACAAGTAACAATAAGTGATATTATATGGATCTGCCTACATGATGGTATATCCTACAGTGACTATGTGCTTTAATATTTGATAGTAAAGTTACTCCCAATGATTTCTAAAGCTCACCTGCCTTTTTGATAGTTATTTTTCTCCTTTGAATGTCGTAATTTGTAAATTCTATGGCGCCAAGGCATACATTTGCATATTAGATATTTAAATTACATTGTAAAAAGAGTACCTAACCACAGCTTGCTTTGTTTGTTTCTTTTCTGGCTCATTTGCCACCAGAATTATTCTTCATAGGCTTTATCTTCATGGGATTCCTCTTTTACATTCTGATTACAAGACTGACACTTCTGAAGTATGACGGTAAGTTTAAGTGGTCATTTAGCTGCGTGCTCTGAAAGTGTGCTGTGGTGTCTGCACTCTGCCTTTCCCTCCATGGATGTGCCCACAGTGTGTGACATCCCATGAAATAACAGGCCACTCTCACTGAGCTGGATTCTTGAGCCCAAACATAGAGATGACACCAGAGCCCAAGGAATACTGGCACTCGTGTGACTTTTAGGGGACTTCTGCTGCAACCAGAAGGGGGAGACGCAGCTCTCAAAAAGAAAAAAGGGGCAACCAGTACAGAAAACGTCATGAAAGGCTCCCATCTAGATCCTCCATGCAAGTCAGGGATTTGAGCTTGCACAGCACCCTGTCCCGCCTGTGTCTGAGCTCCAGGGTTGGCTCTAACTAGAAAGGTGAGGCAGGCTTGCAGGAGGCCGGTCCTTGTCTGCATCGGTGTGCAAAGAATGTGTAACTGTTGTATTTTTAACTCCAGGACTATGTGCAGGTCCTGGGTCCCCCATTTATATCCCCGTTTGACTTTGCTGTGAAAGCACAAACTGGCACGGTCTCTACAGGGCCCCTCTGCAGCATTTGAGTGTTGTAGTCATTATGAGCAGCCCCTGACTATGTCACCACCTGTGGCTTCTTTCTTTCGTGCATCTTGCTTAAACCACTCATTTGGCCTTCCCATCTGGGCTTTGAATCTGCACGGGAAATTCCTTGGTACTTAGGGAAATGAAAGGTCATGTTGACAGTAAACTTTGGTCCAGTTATGTGATACACTGAAGATACAAAATGTACAGCAATAAAAATGTTATTCTTTATTTTAAAACATCCAGCCGGGTGTGGGGCTACAGGCCTGTGTCCCAGCACTCTGGGAGGCTGAGGCAGAGTTCAAGCCCAGCCTGGCCAACTTAGTAAATCAGCAAGACCCTGCCACAAAAATAAACAAAACAAATAAATGAAATAAAAATAAAAAAGGACTAGGGAATGTAGCTCAGTGTATAGGCACTGAGTTTAACTCCTGTTATTAAGAACAAAATAAAAGTATACCCCTTCCCTTGTCCCATCACATTTAACAGGGTCTCAGTCCTAATTTACGTGAAAGCCACGCCTGTCGTCCTTCCTGGGGGATTAGCTCTGGGAGTGTTTGCAGGGCTCAGGCCCAGCCCTGCTGAAGCACCCACGGTAGCTGCCCACGTTAGGCCAGAGGCTGGTTGGGATGCTGCGGCTTCACCACATGCTCCGAAGTGCTGTTTGTCACCAGTGTGTTATCTCCCTTTGCACAGTTCGACTGACCCTGACAGCTGTCGCTGGCGGTGTCAGCGGAGTTTTCCTGGTGGCCATCTGGTGGCGATTCGGGACCCTCGGGCTGTGCATGCTGTGTGCTGGGCTTGTCCTGGGCTTTCTCATCTCAGCAGTGGCCTTCTTCACGCCTCTGGGTAGGTGATGTGTTCCTGATTCCTTGTTTGGAAGATTTTTTATTTGAGCTTCCACTGCCTTTGTTGGGAGTGGTGTTACGAATCTCCACCTTCTGAAGAGTTAAGAAAGTTGGCACTGGATGTGTGGCACCTTTAGAAAAGCAAGACAAATGAGAATCTGTCTGTTTTCAAAGGCATGCTGTGCTAGGTGATTGCAGAGCGCTGCCTTCAAACCCCAAGATTGGCAAAATGGAGTACGGATTGGAGGTCCTGCCCTAAGCGAGCTTAGTTAAATAGTGCTTAATCCCTCTCCCTTTTTGATAGTGCTTAGAGGATGGGGGAAGATAGATTGGATTTGGATTTCTAGTAATTAATGTGCCCTTTCTTTTTCTTTCTTTTTTTTGGGGGGGGGGTCTGTCTTTCTCCAAACTGGAGGTCGGACTCAGGGCCTTCTCACTGAACAACTTCTCTGGTCTTTTAGTTTGTGTTTAGTTTTGAGACAGAGTCTTGCTAAATTGTCCAGGCTGGGCTCAAACTCACAATCCTCCTGCCTCAGCCATCCAAAATGCTGGGATTACAGGTGTGCACCACTGTGCCTGGGTTTTAATCTACCTATGATGAGTAGAATGAACATAGCATATGATGTCAGAAAAATACTAAGATGGGCTTGGCTCTAGTGCCAGAAAAACCTTTTAATCTTGAACAAAGTACTGAAGCTTTTTGTTTCATCAGCTATAAAATTCTCTCATAGTTTCAATCCCCAGCACTACCAAAAAAAATTCTCTCATAGGACAGAAGTAAACATTAATATAAATGAAAAGCCTCTACTTTCCACCCTTATGAAAAATGACTTAAACCACAACATTGTCATTCAACATTATTGTTATTACTGATACTGGGAATTAAAGCCAGCCCTTTGTACTGAATTACATCCCATGGTTTTTATATTCCTTAGTTTGAGGAATTGACCAGCTGGCCTCATACTTGGGATTCTCCTGCCTCAGCCTCCTGAGTAGCTCGGATCACAAGTATGCACTGCTGTGCCCCAGCTTAGCTTCATACTTTTAAGCATTAATGTGTGAAAATATTTAACTGACCTCTCAGATCTGATTAGTTCATTGTTGTTTCAGGCTTGTGTGGGCAGCAAAGAGATTGTTCTCTGTAAAGATCTGTTCTTCATACGTTTGCATCATAACTATTTTGAATCCTTAGATTCCTTGAAAGATTTTTGAAAAAGGCCATATGTGTATTTTAGGAAGGGTAATAAAGTTAAACTTAAGAATGTGATCCATGGGCTGGAGATTTAGCTCAGCACACAAGTATTTCCTGGCAACTATAAGGTTGTGAGTTCGATCCCCAGTACAAAAAAAAAAAAAAAATCATGCAGGGGCCAGGGATGCTTAGTGGCACAGCACCTGCCTGGCAAGCATGAGGTCCTGAGTTCAATTCTTGGTACCCAGCCCCTGCAAAAAAAAAGAATATGATCCATAAATTTTCCTCATTGGTACATAGTGCTTTCAGAGACTGTGGAGCCCTAAGTTTAGATCCTGTGCCCAGGATATGTGAATCTTGAGATACAGGACCATTTACAGACGAACAACGGTGACAGGGTCAGTACTGAATAGTCAGGTAATTTTAAAAGAGGAGCTCTTATAAATTGGTTCCGGTCACTCTAGGGTATGCGGCATATTGGAGCTGGGCAGCGGGAGGATGCTTTGGTAGTAGCAGATGGTTACTGTGCAGCAACCTGGCAGGATATGGGTTGATCAAAAAAACCTGTTAAGGGGATCTTGCTGCTTCTATCAGGTTCACAGCTTAACTTCGAGTATCTTGTTACTTGTGGGTTTTTGTTGTTTCCCTTGGTATGAAAACAGGAAATCACAGATATTTAGGGCTAGGTAGATAGTTTAGACCTGGGAGATGATATATTTCAGTCTTCTCCACTTCTCGGTAAGGGAACCTAGTGAGGCCCAGGGTCGTGGAGCTAGTTAGAAGAGCTGAGACTCTGAACCTTTTCTGAATTATTCTGCTACTGAGTGTAGAGCATTCGCCTCTGTGGTCCTCACCCCGTACCTTTTAGGGCATGCCCTTCAAAGGGGGTTTTGTATTGACACATATAAAAAATCAGAATTTATTTGTAGTTGCCAGCATACTCCCTGGCTGTTACTTTAAGCTTGCGGGGTATATATGTGTTAATATTGAGAAAATGAAATTTAACTTCATAAACCTACTGCTTACTCTTTTTTTTGCTTTTTCAGGAAACCTAAAGGTTTTTCGTGATGATGCTGTGTTTTGGGTGACTTTCTCTTGTATCACTGTCTTCATTCCAGTAGTTTTCTTGGGCTGCCTAAGAATAGTAAGTGTTTCCCAAAAAGTTAGGTTTATCCATACATGGCCCCAGACCTTCAGCGGATGGCCCAGTGCATCATTTTGCATGTTCTGCTCACTGGACAGGGCTGCGTGATTAACTGCAGCAGGGTGACTGCTTCTCAACAACTTTGTTGCTATGTGAGAGCAAAGAAAGTTCTACAGAAGCTCCCTCTTCCTAAAACAGAGCATCACCTGTCAACATACAAGTCCAGAGCATCAAACTCAGGGGGAGCACTAGTTTTCACTGTCTCTAGCATGGGTCTTTATATAAGACTTTATAGGCAAGATTATTTTCTGTGATACAGTATAATCGTGTTGCTTAGCAACAGGATCCTTTCCAAGAAGTGCATCCACAGAATAGTGCAAACATGATAGAATGTACTTACACAAACAAAGAGGGCTATAGCGTTACTGGGTGCTGTATGTAACCTTATAGGGCTGTCATCTGTTCTGTCATTCATTGAAACATCCTTATGTGGTCTAGAAGTGTATATTAAGCAGATAAACTGTTTTGAGAACTCCCCATAGGTGTTAAGTTTCAAGGTCTTAGTTTATCTTTGTCAGCTCTAAGACAGGGTCCCTTTTTGTGTGCCCTGCGGGATCAGAAGTAATTCCTGGTGGTTGAGGCCAGTTGTGACAGTTAGCAACTATTCCGTTCCCCCAGGGATGATGACTCAGGTTCCCCCTTCTTCCACAGCTGAACATCCTGACCTGCGGAGTGGTTGGCTCGTACTCGGTGGTTTTGGCTGTTGACAGTTACATGTACACAAGCCTTTCTTACATCACTCTGAACGTTCTCAGGAGGGCACTCAACACGGATTTCCACAGAGCTTTCACAAATGTGCCTTCTCAAACTAATGGTAAGACTCTTACCTTCAAAAACAGGGGCAATGGTTCAATAGCTGAGTGTTGACTTTTCCATGTTAACAAGAGAACTCAAAAAAAAGCAACTGGCCAGACTTAGAAAGGAGGAGACACTACCAACGCGGTGAGAACACTCTGTTCATAACATGCCCATGGGAGCTAGGAATGTAAATTTTTAAGATTCACACTTCTAAAAATCTGTCAAGTGAGCTTGGTTGAGAAATTTCTAAGCCTGGATTAGTTTGGTTTGCAAGTGGATTCTCAACTACATGACCGTGAAGATGTTTGATGAGTGAGGGATGAGAAGGGGCACCTGATTTAATTTTTCAGTCATTTAAAAGTCCTTTGAGTCCCATCTCCCTTCCTTAATGAAGCAGGCAATTTGGTGGTTGAAAATGAAAGTGATTTTCAATTAGTGTCTTGCTTCCTCTCTTGTAAGATTTTATCTATTCAAGATTTTCCGCTGACTTCTTAAAGGGAAGAAAAAAAAATGACCACCATATTAAATGTTCGCAAAGTTTGTAAATTCTGTTGACTTCAGAAATGTTAAGATATGAAGGGTGGAAAAGCCTGTCTTAGAATTGCGGATACCCTGAATAGGCACAGCTGTGACTGCCGAGTTTTTTAGGGCAAAGTATTTTCTTTGGATAAGAGGTTGATGCTAGAGATGTTGAAATCCATGTGTCTTAGAGTTTTTAAGTGCAAGCAAAGCATTTATTAGAAGCTGTGGGACTCGCTGATGCATCCCCATGTCTTCTCTACGTGAGTGAGGTTGGATCCCTTAGAGAATGGTGTGGGGAGGAAGTGAGGCTCTGGTGTCCACCACGTACAAAGGCGACTGCAGGTAACTGGGTCACCTCCTTCTTCCTCCAGCCCCCAACAACTGCCTACGGGCACGGGTCCCCTAACACTGGGATGCCAAGGATTCAGACAATCGATTCTTTCCTGACTGATTTGCACTTCTGGATGTCTATAATACAACATTTTTTAAGTTTCAAAAATAAGACTGCAGCTTTCCCATGCATGGCTTGGTTGTGTAGGTCTGGTTTTCAAACACAACAGTTTTAAAATTGAAATCTTCTACGTTGTTTTTTAGACTTTATTATCCTGGCAGTATGGGGGATGCTGGCTGTCAGCGGAGTCACGTTACAGATACGAAGAGAAAGGGGGCGACCGCCTTTCCCACCTCACCCGTACAAGCTGTGGAAGCAAGAGAGAGCCCGCCGCATAACAAACATCCTGGATCCCAGCTACCACCTGCCTCCGCTGAGAGAAAGGCTTCATCGTCAGTTGACCCAGATCAAAGACCTCTTCCAGAAAAAGCAGCCTGCAGGAGAGAGGACTCCCCTGCTTCTTTAGAGTGGTGTGGGTTTGGTCAGGGAACCTCAACTCTGGAGCTCACGCCAGATGGCTTCAGCAGTCTGCGGTGTATTGCTAACATGGTCACGCCTGGCATTTCAGGGTGTCTTTACTGATACATGGTGAGGGTTCACTAGGCCATCAGGATGAGTCTAAGTCAGAAAGGTGACCAAAAAAGTTGGTGGTAGGGAGGCTTTTCCTTATTCAAATTACCCGAATGCATTGTCTTTTGGTTTACAGATCTAGGATCCATACAGTCCATTCAATACACCAAAAACTCAAAAATGAGTAACAGGGGTTCTCGCCCTGCTGTTTTTTTCTGTAAGTCCTCGACAGTCCCCTTCCCTGACTCTAACCGTGGGGAGTGGGAGGTATTTCAGTATTACATTGGGCATTTGCCTCTCTGTTTGCAGATAGAGGGATTTGATCCTGAGCCCTTGAATGTCAGAATATAAAAAGTCATTTTTTTTCTTATGTAACCAATCTGGGTACTTGGTTTGCATGTTCTTTTAATCAACAAGGTATCTTCGTTTTAACATTTAAAATTTTTAATTGTAAACTACACGTTAAACTCACCAACTTATTTTTAGGGTACAGTTCAGTGGGATCCCTTTGTTTTTGCCTTTCATTGCTTAAAAAACGCTAACTTTTCAAGTGGTTAAATCACATCAGTCATTTAGAAATTCTACATAGCTAATAGAATGTTTATATAGGTAATTTATTTATGTTCCAAATAAAGGACTTGGGTTTTTTTTTTTTTTCCTTTCAAGACCTTTTAAGATAGTGTTTAAACTGCATTAGGTGACATGGATCATGTTTCATTTCAAGGAAATAAGCTGATCCCTAGCCTTAATGTATGGTGCCATTAACAACCTTGAAAAAATTCCTTCTTTTTGCCAAAATAGCTGTGTTAGCATTAAGGTACAGTAGTTTTTAATTGGTTTTGACTGCTTTCTTGTCATGCGAGCCTGTGCACTGTGTTTTGAAGTGATAAGGAGGCAGTCAGTTATCAAGGAGACTGGGTGTGATCTGCGTTTAATCAGGCCCAGCTTGGATACCCGAAGGCAGGTGCCCTGAGTTTGGTATTCTTTTTTTTTCTTTTTGTCTTTTTCCTTTTTACCGGTACCAGGGATCGAACTCACAACTGCCTGCTTGCAAGGCAGGCACTTATGCTGCTGAGCTAAATCCCCAGCCCCAAGTTTGGTATTCTTGATTAATCACAAAAAAGACCCCGGCAGCCCTGGGCCGCTTTCCTCCTGCTCACTGCCTTTTTTTCTTACCTGATGGAGCTCTGGATTGTGAGCCAGTTCCTCTCACAAGCTGGGGTCGTTTGTGGCCATGGCACATAATGTTTGTGAGGTAACCACTACGTAAGTGATGCTGCTTGTTTGAATTTCTTCAGGGTATAAAAGATTATTGAAGTTTTGTGTACCTGGAGATACCTTTAACTTTTGCTTTTAAAAGTGTGTTGGGAAGGGTTAAAAAAAAAAAACCTGAGAAAATAGAAAATGAACCGTTTTTGCTTTGAAAAAATCAGTGCAGGTATCTACTTACTGCTCTATAATTCTTATTGTTTATAACTTCAGCCAAAAAAATCTGATTGAAAAGGTACTGTAGGGACTCTGGTTTCTACCGTATCTTTGTACATTCTAACAAGGTTTAATGAAATGTCGTGAGTTATTCTCTGTACCACCAAAATTTCTGTACTGCCTCAACTGTAGAAGGCAGATCACACTTCTTTGGAGAGAGGACACAAGTTATTTAAAAACTTTCACTATGACTTGTAATTTTAAAAAGTCACTTTGTACAATTTTTATAATAAATTCCTGTTTTCAAAAAGTGCTAAAAATCCTCTTGATTATGGGAGTCTCCTAAAAGTTATCAGTGACTCTTATTTGTACCATTGCAATAGTACATGAGGGAAGTTTCACAACTAAAAACTATAATCTGGACAGTTTAGTTCTTTATCTTAAAGTATCAGGTTAAGAACAGGAAGTGAAGGAAAGGTGGGGCACTGTGTTCAAATGTATAGTCTGTGAGAAAGCTGATTTTTTCTACTGGACTAATCCGTGGTGGGGGTCATTAGTACTTCAGGTGTGTGGAGCTGAAGGAAAGTGGTAGGATTATAGGAAAAACCTCTCATACTACTCTTTAAGTGTTCTCCCAAAGTTCTGATTAACCTGTTACAGGTTAGCTATCAGGCTGCCAAAACTCACTATAATATTCTCCAGAGATTTCTCTTTGGATAAAAGGGGGATGGTGGAGAGTTTTCTATAGAAGGTGGGATAGAAAACTAATTCCAACAAAGAAATTGCTAGAATATTAGGCAACGAAGGACTTTAGAGATCATGCTATCTGCCCCTTATGCCTATCAAAGTGTGCTTTATACTCCATCATGATGACCTAAGTCACTGATTACTTTCAACTTTCTTCTGCTAATGAATTGGTACTATTACTCTTTATCATGCTCTTATTGGAAATTATTAATTTTACACAAACTTTTTTTTTCTGAATTACTCATTGAGGCTGTAGATCCATTTATTGTTCATTTCAAATGATGCATACCTGTTTAAAACTGCTAATACTACAAGTATCTCCACAGCAGCATTTGTACATAACTTTTCAAAGTTCTCCCCGTGAGGATCTCTATAATACCCATTGATAACATTTATTAAAATCTGGTGTTTTTGGTGCTAACCTTCTGAGAACAGGGCCTTGTCCTGGAATCCAGCTCCCCACACTGTGTCTTAGAAAGTGGCTATTTCCCTTCACGTTGTGGATCAATTTGTGTGTTTTACTCTCATTTAGTGTTGAAGCTCTAACTCCCTAGAACCTCAGAATGTGACTTTATTTGGAAATAGGCTCTTTAAGAAGCAATTAAGGAGGCTATTAGAGTAATCCAATGTGACTAGTGTCCTTACATCAAGAGGAGGTGAGAGGGTGTGGCTCAGTGGTAGAGCACACGCTTAGCATGTGTGAGGCCCTGGGTTCCAGGCTAGGACAGACAGGTGCACCTGCTCAGAGGAAAGAGCGGCTACCTCAACAGAGCGGCCAGAGGAAGACACCAACCCCACCACCATGACATGGGCTCCCACCCTCCATAACTATGAGAAAATTGTTTCTGCTGCTATTTTGTTATGGCAGCCCTAGCAAAAGAATATACTGTGCACCCTGTTGCAAAGGAATATATATTGTGCAAATGTATGGATATATATCATCAAGTCTAGGCCTGGGGTTCGGGAGGAATAATTTGAGGCAGGATTTAAAGGCTTCTTTTTTCTGGGGGGCAAGAAACCTCTCTCTTATGCTTATTAATGTCTGGTGTTTTTCTCAACACAGGAGAGACTTCTCTACAAATACAGTAACTTAACTTCTTTTCCAAACCAGCTCTGTCTTCTGAATTTCTTCAGTGACACGTATCAGGTATTTTCCCCCATCCACTGAAATACTTTTGCTTTTGGGTTTAGGGTCTTACATGAAGTAGGAACAAAAACTTTGGGCATATCAATGCAAGAAACTGACTTAAATAACTTTCAACAAAGCAAGCACTACGCACTTGACCAGAGTGGCACTGTCATCTGAGACCAGGAGCTGACAGATCACCTTCATTTTAAAGCCCTGTTCATCTTCCACAAAAGCGAACTGCTGGGGGTTAGGGGTTATGTGAAATGACAACGGAGACCAATAACCAGTTTAATGCCTTATAGTTTTTCTGTGGTGCTAGGGCTTGAACCCAGGGATGCTCTGCTTGACCTATATTCCTTTTTACAAGACAGGGTACTCCCATTACCTAGCATGGCCTTGAACTTGTGATTCTCTTGCCTCAGCCACCTTAGTAGCTGGCGTTACAGGTGGTGCAACACTGTGCCTACTTTTCTCGTTTTGTAGAAACCTCAAATGACTTCCTGTGTTTGCTGCTTGAGAAGTATATCCTGTGTTTCTAGATAAGCGTATTTTATTCTGGTTACAATTCTACCTACTGCTGTTTTCTGAAGGCATCATCTGCTCTAAAATAGTGGATCTGGTCTTTTCGCTCATTTGGGGAAAAAAACTGCAAGAGATGGCATTAACTTAAAGATCCGAGGTTAAGGATCAAGGCATACAGTAGCATTCAACTGTATCTGCATATATATTTAAAAGCAACTATTTATAGATAGGCTTTCTGATTCATAAGAGGCTTATTATAATGACCCCTGGGGAAGACAGAGGTTATAGGGAGAGACTGCCTATTCTGAACTGTGTATTTTTAAAATGTACGACTTTTATTTAAAAGGTAAGTGATAAAGATGAACGTTCTGTAACCAACTTCCAGGGATTATGCACTAGAAATGACAATACATAAAGGTATGTATATGTACATCTCCTGCAGTATTGTTTAAAAATGTCCCAACTAAATATCCAATGGGGAAAAAGATGATTACAACACGTACAGTGGTAGTCAAAATGCGTTGGTTCACAGGCAACAATTAATAGAATTAGTGTGAAGTATGATAGTTTATAGACTTTCCATTATGCATCTGATTTATGTAAATTACATAATTGTAATTACTTATGTATAACACTAAACTTTTAGCTTACACATCTATTGCTAGAATCTTTAAACCACAGCATGCAATGAACTACACTGATTATCGACTATTTACTTAACTGTTCTCCTGCCATAGGATATTTAGGTTGAATCTTATTTGCCTACTCTCATGTGGTTTGGACCAGGGGTGGCAGCACAGAGGGAGAGAAATGGTGGGTTCCTGATAGATATTGAAGGGTGGGCCAGCTGGATTTACTGATGAGTTTGATGCAAGATATAAGCAAAAGTGGAGTCAGATGCCCCTAGGGTTTTGGGTCTTGACAGCTGGAAAGATGCAGCTGTCAGCAACCAGGATGATGAAAAGGCTGGAGGTTCTGGGAATTACGCCTGAGAGTTCGGCTTTGGACATTTTAAGTTTCACTTGCCTCTGGCAGTCACAGCTGGATGAGCTTGAAGTTAATGAGAAGTCTGAGCTGGCGAAGTGCATCTGGGAGCCGTCCACATGCAGGTGCTAAAGTTCTGAGTCTGGGGGAGCTCACCGAAGAGCAGGGATACTGCATTCTAACAGGAGTAAAGACTGCACCTGGGGTCTCTCTAGAGCATTCAGAGGCCGGGAAGAAGACAGGAACAAAACAGGCTGGAAACCGAGCAGCCAGTCGGGGAAAAGGAAAAGGTCCCCTCAAATGCCAGCTGTAAATTCATCAATATTTTATTTTTAAAATATTGTTTTACTCTCCTAGTCAGAAAAGCTAATAGTATTCACTCAAAATTAAGTTATGGGTCTATGAGCCTCCATTTCTTCACTGAAGCCGTTTAGAAATAAAAAATTTAGAAGTTACTGTGATATAAAAGAATATCAAAGAATGTAAACATAAAGCATTTTATCTGTGAGGCTATGTAGTTTTTAGAACTATAATCCCTATTTAAAACTTTAAAACTTGACTAACGATGAATACATAATATTACATGTTTCTTAGTGCTGCTGTAACATACACCTACAGGCTGAGGGGCTTAAAATAATAGACATTTATTTTCTCAGTTTTTAAGACCAGATCCTATAATCAAGCAGGCTTGATTCCTCTGGAGGCGCTCAGGGTAAATCTGTCCTAGTCAGCTGGTGGCTAAGAGTCATTGGTGGTCTTTGGCTTGCATAAATCTCTGCAGGTCTTCATGTGGCTTTTGTTCTGTGTTTCAAATCTTCATTTAGAAAGGACACCAGGTCAGTGTATTTAGGGCCCGACCTAAATCCAAAGCCATCTTCCCCTGAGACAATTACATCTGTAAAGACTCTTTATTTCATTTAAAAAAAATGCATTTTATTTCAAAGTGAAAAAAAAAAAAAACAATTTCAAAACACATCCATCAGGGTTTATTTCTAGATACAGTCACATTCCCAGCTGCTGAGGATGCGGACTTGCCTCTTGTGGAACAGACACTTCTCATGCCACTACAGGTAAGCAGGCCTGAAGGGCAGAAATAAGTAGTTGCTGACCTGCTCCTAAGAAACAGAAGAACTTGTTGCTAAGTACTTGTTTTGTGGTAAGGAGAGACAAAAGGCCTTAAAAATAAACTATGTGCAAGAAATGTACACACTGTTCAAATGAAATGGGAAGCCATGCCAGTTTTAACCATTCATCTTTATTGATAAAACAGGCTCCTGATACATCCTCTCAGACATAAAAGTAAAATTCTGTCAAACAAAAACAAGGGGCGGAAAACTGTCCTAAAAACAGTAAATGTTTTCAATACTCAAGACTTAAAATTTATCTAAGGAAGAAGGCCAAGAATAAATTACCTGTTTACAAAAATAATCATTTATCAAATAAATGTTTTATAATAGAGCTGCCTCAGGGAATTGCCTCAGACTTAATCTCAACTGTGTAGCTTATTTCCTTTTATTTTTCCTTGGGATAACAACTCTTTGAATGAATATGCCGTTTAATTAAGGGATAGTTCCTAAAAACCTATAGAAAAGTTTAAAAATAAAAAAAGTCATTTCCTTAGAAAGTATCAATTAAGGCCTCTGAATGAGAAAATAAACCTAATATTTGGGCTACTAGCCCTTTTCTAATCAGCCCATTAACCTCAAACTTAGGATCAAGAATCTCTGCAGTGAAAAGTACTTTTGAATTTTACCATTATATGAAATAATACATAAAAATTACAAGAAGTAATATTTCTTTAACAAATTATATACTCAAAACTAAAATTTTCTGATTGTGCTAATTTTAATATGTATTTAATATAAATGAGTATAATATATTTGATACTCTTTTATCCTTTCATTCTACACTCACTACAAAATAAGAAAACGTTAGGTCTTCATTGGTGTTAAAGCATATTTCTGTATCTGGTAGCTTTTACGAGTTCATACACTGTATATTTAGTTTAAAAAAAAAGAAAATAAATACTTGTAAATTCATAGATTTCTACCTTCCTTTCCAAATGAAAGGTCAGAAGAAAAACCTTACAGATTATGAGTACCAGATGAAGTTTAAAAGTACATTCAGAATTTTTTTTCTGAAATTTGACTCCTTTTTGTGTGTCAAGAGTAATTAAGAAAAAAAGGGAGGGGCCCATGAGCCCGAGAAGTCCTGAATTTATCTTGAAAGTTTCCATACCTACCTTTCTGTATCAAATAATTCAACTCTTGTTAGCTAAATGAACCATGTAATATCCTTAAATAGGTATGGACCAGAAAAGACAAAAAAAAAAATCTCATTTTCACAATGACAAAGAACCAAAACTTATTCTTTCAAAGGAGTAGTTTAACCTACTAAATATGTCTATTATATGATCTTTCTTAGAAAGTAATTATTCCTTTTCTTTCATTCCTGAAATGATGTTTCATACATTTCAACATGTCTTAGACAACTGATAGCTAAGGATTAATTATGGTAAGTTAGCTAGAATTAAATTACCTCATTTATGGTACCAATGAAACATTCCTAGAGCCTTTAAACCTGAATTTTCTTTGACAAAATTTTAATGCGGAAACAGACAAGCAGTCACTTAAGTAGTAAGTCACACGGTGCATAAACAACTTGTTAATTCTGACACCAAACAGGAAGAATAAAATTCAGTATGCAGATTTCTTATTCATAAAACCATAGTGAAAACTTGTATTTTAAAACTGGAATAATTCTATGAATTCCCAAACATTTATTGGGATTCAGATTATATTTATATTATTCAGAGAGCAAACAGCACTACTAAAAGCTTCACATATTCAAGAGTCACTGTAAAAACTGTTCATTGGTTCACTAATTAACAGTGGCTCAGTTTCTATATTTGTGGGTTTTGGAATAAAGTTTACAACCATTAAATACACATTTTTTTTGTTGCTATCTCTTATTCAGTGCACTGTACATACTATAGAGGGGAAAAAAAGTGTTGACTAACGCTGAATTTTCTGTTCATTCATTCACTTGTCCATCAGTCCTGACAACGATGTGGACCCATGTACTCCAGATCTGGAGCCCTTCAGCTCTTTCTCAGACTCAAATCACTATTGGTCACTAATACTGACAAAGACGTACTTTCTGATACGTCATCCTTCCGAAGGTTCAAAAATGATTCTCGAGTTATTTGAAGGATCTCTCTCAAGCCTTTGTTTTCTTGCTGTAAGGAGGTAAGCAAAAATACAGTTGCAGTCACTCTCCATCAGGAAGTTACAAGAGGGCAAACATACTTTAAAAATCTAATCATATGAATGTTGAACATATAAAAAGTTCTGTAATTACATAAAACACTAAGAGACACATACAGCTGACAGCCTGAATCTAAACAAAACTTTAAAGAGGTGGGATTGTGCTCAATTGCTTCTACCACTTTAAAACCTCAACTATGAAAATGTGAGATGAAAACTCAGAAACTTGGGGCTGGGGATTTAGCTCAGCGGCATAAGCACCTGCCTTATAAGCAGGCGGTCGTGAGTTCGATCCCTGGTACCAATAAAAATGAAAAAGACAAAAAAAAAAAAAACTCAGAAACTGCCTTATTTTATAATCACACAAGAAGAAAACAACACGTAGATTTACAGTCATGTAACTCACAAAGCTAGTGAGTCACACCTGAGGAGTAGAACTCTCAGTACATTCGTACTTTTACGACTTTCCATAGTAGCACGGAATACACCACAAGCCACACACAATTTTTTTCTCCCTGGAATTTGAGAGCAGCAGGGCTGCCCTTGTGCGTGATACTTTCCAAGAAGGAAAGTCAGTGAAGGCATCTGGCACTATAAACAACTTTGCCCATTTGTCCCTCTTCTAGATTAATTACTGTAAGAAATTTGCAGGTGTTTATAAGTGATCTTTCATTATTTATTCTCTTCCATTAGCATCAATTTCTAAAACTGTGGCAAAACTGAATAGGTACAAACGACCTAGTTTGCAAAGTCAAAAATACTTACTCTGGCCTTTTTTATAGAAAAAGTTTGCCCACTCTTGTTGTACACAGAACACTGTCCATGCTCAGAAAGAAATCATTTCTGGCCCTCAGTAACCAATTTCCTGACCATCATTTTAAAATGAAACTTATTAAAATATGAAAGTCTACTCTTCTGACTTGAGTTATTGAACAACTTGTACTTCTGCTATCATAAAATGGAGAAAGACAAAGGCTTTTACGGTTCTTAGAAGAATAAGCATTTCCAAAAAATACCTGTGGATTAAAAACTGTATTTCCCTGTAACACTGTATCTTTAATAGACTGAACAAATTTTTCTAAATTACAAATTATTTAATTAATTTTTTTTGGTACTGCAGATCAAACTCATGACCTTGCACTTGCCAGGCAGGTGCTTATGCCACTGAGCTAAATCCTCAGCTATTTTTATGTTTTGGTCTTTTAGAGATAGGGTCTCACTATACAAACTTTGAGCTCACTTTGTAGCCCAATCTCATAATGATCCTCCTGCCTCAGCCTCCCAAGTGCTAACTATAGGTCAGTGCCACTACATCCACCTTAAATCACAAAATTTAACAAGTACACTCCTTTAGTGAAAAGGCAATACAGGAACAAAAATCAACTTTCTCAGTTTCTGGTATAAGTTACTAATAATCCTAGATTCTTATACTATGACACACATGGCTTTAAATCATAAACCTATAAAAACAGCAGCATCCTGATTAAGAAAAAGGGGAATGACAGAGAAGAAGCACTAGCATGTATCATGTTAAAGTACAAATTCCCTACGATGAATGTGATAATTATATATCTAAAATAGACCAATTAAAACAAGTTTGGGTAAATTTCATGAATATTTACATTTCAGGGCCGGGGATTTAGCTCAGCGGTATAAGCGCCTGCCTGGTAACAGTCATGTTTGATCCCCAGTACCAAAAAACAAACAAACAAACAAATAAAAAAGAATATTTATATTCCAAAATTAAACAACCCAAATTAAATTTTCTGAATAGTTAAAAAAAACAAAAACAAAACAAACAAGTAAAAACACAGCCAGCTGTGGTGGCACACACCTGTAATCCCAGCATTTGGGAAGACTGGTACAACCTCAAGGCCAGCCTGACCACATGGCAAGACCCTGTTTAAACACACACACACACACACACACACACACACACACACACACTAACATGCCCCAGGAAAGTATGGGGTATGTTTTCTGATGCAGGTTATATGGATAGCTTTCACCTACACTTAGGACTCAAAACTTACTTCAAGCTGAAAGATTCTTTCTTGTTCCTTGCAACCCTGCTGCTCGTCGATTTCAATGGCTTTTCTCATGACTGCTGCCATCTCCGTTATCTGGTCAACATGTGCCTGCAACTCCTGAAAAGAAAGGATGACAGTTGGAAATCAGCGGAATACTTATTTTACTTCTGGATCTTTTTTATAAAATCCATGGTGTTACCTAACATGAATGTATTATGCTTTTTTTTGTTTATTTTGAATGTAATATTCTTATATTGCAGGAATACAATATACATCCTGATATATATCCTGCTATAATACATAACAGGAATATAACAGATCACAACAAAATTTGCTGACCATGAATATGCTTGAATTAATTTCTATTAGGACTAGAATTAAGGCCAACGGCATAACGTAACTAAACCCGCTGCAAGTGACTTCGTCTACATTCCTCTCACCACAATGACCAGCACCTTTTCCTTCTTGCACCTAAATATACTACCACCACAATGGGAAAGATAAAGGTTATTGACAAATTTATTGTCTCCTCTGAAGTCTTCATGGTTTACAAATCTGTTATTACCCATGCCGTAAGTTCATCCCAATCCAATCTAGAATCTCTTTTATACTCTAATACTCCTGAGAGAGGGAGCATATCCTGCTCATACCTATTATTTAATGTTATGCCTATAACTTAGTGTTTGGTATGTAGTAAATATTGAGTAGAATGAACAGAATTCTTTTATTAAGTATTAAAATATTAAACAGCCTTCTTGGCCAATGCTGGAAATATAATTTCAGTCTGTTACACATTTTCCCATTCTCGATTCTTATATTTTTTGCTGGGCAGTGTGCTGGGCAACAGAAGCATGAAGCGTATTAGATACAGTCTCTGGCCTGAAGGACCTTCTAGTCTAGAGAGAGACAGACAAAAAAAGTAAAATCCACAGAAACTTGAGAATAATCTATCAGGAAACAGTACCTACAGACCAGTATTCACTGGCACTGGAGGTTAGCTCATTTTATTCAGGTCAAAACCTAAGTTCATAGTGAATAAAAATTCTTCACATAGACATCAAGTCTCTTAGCTGGCTGTTAACATTGTCTTCTTGTAAAAAGAAATGGAACAAGGCTTCTGAAGACCTACAAACTATTACACTGAAAGAAACAACGGAAAAAACCCTTTTGTGGGGTGCTGGGGAATCAAATCCAGGGCCTTGAAGATGCTAGGTAAGCACTCTACGTAGCCACACCCCCGCTTTATTTAATTTGGAACAAATCTGCTGGTCCTTATTTCATTGCTTTTGGTGCTGGGGACTGAACCCAGGGCCTTGAGCATGCTAAGCATATAGTCTAGCACTGAGCGTTTCCCCAGGAGAAACCTACATGACTGTTGTACTTCAGAAGAAGGTACGGTAAGTCATCTGTGCTGTCCAGTACAGTGCTATTAAAATCAAGTATGTTTTAAAATTCCATCCTTCAGTCACACTTACTACACCTATTAATGCTCAATGGCCATGTCTCATCGCATAGAGAACATTTCCCTCATTTACAAAGTTTTATCAATCTTGGATTAGGTTCTAATAGCAAAAATGATATCAAGACAAAATCTGTCATGTCCTGTAACATGTAAATATCATTAGACTCCTACTGTAAAGGGAACATAAGGCTTAAAAGCACGTATACAGATAACAGCAAACTGAATGTGCAATGAATCAAAATTTTAAATAGCAAGTTTCTTCAACTTATGATTTGTCAAAGCTACAGTTGAAAAATGAGTTTAAGAACTACATACGCAGCAAGTACTTCTTTGTTCTTAAAGTGAAAGAAAAAACTAATTTTTAGGGTAGAATCTGTTCTAACAAGATCAACAAATGAACAAAATCTAATAGTTCAAATGCAAAGTATTTTTATATGCCCAGTTAATGATTCATTTATTAACTATAAAATCGAGAAGAATCACAGAATTTTTAATGGGAATGAAAGACTTGTGATTGCAAAACTGTCACAAAAGAAGTGTCAGCAACATAATTCTTGAACTGTACTGAAATGCCTTTGACTTCTAACTTTGACCTAAGTTGATTTCTGCTTTACTCAGTAAAAGAACTGCCACGATCTAACTCTTTAAGTTAAAAACACAATGAGCAATGATACACTCAATTATAATGTCTAAATGAAAGTCATTTTTGCTTTATTTGTAAATGCAAACTAAAGGATTTTAAAAAATCTAAATGAAAACATTTCATTAATAGTCTGATGGACCAACATCTTCATGATTCAGGTTAAAATTCATGCCAAGAAACTATCACTGATGTCCAGAAGGAGAATAACTGGTTTGCAGAAACAAAATTTACAGCAATAATTAACAAGAGCTAATAAATGAAAAGCTGGGCTACATGTCCTTTAAAATCTATGGTCACATATTAATATGTATGACACAATTAATGACAAATTTAAAGTTTTCCACTGAACAGGCAGGGGAATCAAAAGCATTACATTCTGTTAATTGATTTATTTGCTGATCTAATCTGGCACAGAAATTCAATGTAAAAAAATGGGCCCCCCTTCCATCCACACCCCAAAGTTGACTGTTTTTTTAGGGTACATTCTGATTTGCTTCCAAGTGCCTCCTCTCGAGTCCATGCTGAGGTGCTTCAAGGATGTGTCGAGATGCAGCAAGGAAGAATCCTTCGGAGTTGTTACGATGTACCATGTCAATCTGTAGTACAGAGTCATTATAATGTTAATACGGATATTATCCGTAATTTAAGAACTGAATGAGTGTTAGTTCATGCGTGTTAGCCAACTGTTTTGAAATGTTTGTTTTTTTAAGATTTCCAAAAAGGCATCTGTTAAAAATGATGTAAAAAACAGGTGTTGGGATGAAAATAAATTCTATTAAACTTATTTATTTATTGTCTTTTTGAGACAGGGTTTCTCTATGCAGTTCAGGCTGACCCTGAGCATAATTTGTAGCCCAGACAGGCCTCAAACCTGCAGCCATTCTCCTGCCTCAGCCTCTTGAGTGCTGAGATTACAGGTGTGTGCCACCACACCTGGCAGTTCTATTAATTTTAAAGTGTGAACTCAAAAACTTCCCGGTGACAACAAAATTCTGTATTATAGTAGTTTCCAAAGGAACTCTTATTCCAAAATGGCACTAAATATAACTCTATTCGCTACCTCTAAGTATATTATAAAGTTGTTATTGTGTTTGGGCTTCTCAGAGCTCTAGTACCTAAACATATCCCAGAATCCCACACTTCTGTGCCTTTATCTTGTTTCTGCTTACTGAACCTAATCCCTATAATTAAAGAGTAAATTAATTTTCTTTCTTTCCTTGACATCTTTCCAGTTGCTCCTCATGAGAACTAAAACTGCTCTCTTAATACTGTAGTAGCAATTCATATTTCTACCTTACCTGCACATTAGTTTGTGTCTGCAGCTCCTGTAAACACTGCATTCTTGTATAGTAACAGAACTTATTCACCGTGTAATCACCGTAACGACTAACCCAGCGCAAGTGTGAATAAATGTTTAACTGAGTTAAAGTATCTCCTTTTTGGGAAAAATCAAAATCACAAACATTAATATGTATTAGTTAGAATTAATAACAAGTAACTGAATAATCATTTTATGGTAGGCAAGGTGAAGTCAATTTATATAATGAAATGGATGTTTTAAGCTATCTTAGGAAATGTTTAACTTTGCTAATTATAGAGTAACTGGTGAATATACCATCTAATGCATTTGTTTAATTATTCATTCATTATTTCTGGTGCTGGGGGGCCTCACACATGCTAAGCACTTGCTTTATCACTGAGCTACATCCGAATCCCCAGTGTTTTTTAAAAAACATTTTTCTTATTCTAAGCACATTTTAGTTATTGTATTTTCCTTAAATTTCAAATTTTGGGCCAGGGATGTAGCTCAGTGACATAAGCAGCTGCCTGGCAAGTGCAAGGTCCTGTGTTCTATTCCAGGACCAAAAAAAAAAAAAAATCAAATGTTGATTTTTCAATTTATAAGGACATTTTGAAATGTCTGAAGATTATATTTATCCTAACAATAATTTTAAGTGAACTCCTCTATATTCCTTTATCCAATTATTGTAATTAAACGTCTCACTTATAATGTATTTATTCAAAAGATCACCCCTTAAGAGATTCAAAAACCTCCATTTGGTTAACAGATGAATATTATAATTAGATACCAAGCCCAATTTTAATAACTTATTATTTTAACTGTTGAGACAAAGGTACCTAGTAAGTTCCCCAATATGTAAAGTTGTCACACAAAGAGCTATTCCCTAGATATTTAATACTTTAAGTAATCTAAAAACTGGGCTGGGATGTAGTTCTGAGGAAGAACACTTGCCTAGTATGCGTGAGGCCCTGGATTTGACCCAGCACTGCAAAAAAAAAAGAAGAAAGGAGAAAGAGAAATGGGGCGGGGAGGGAGACAGAGCAAGAGGGGGAGAGGGGTCTACAATGCCTTTCAATAATTGAGAAAGATAAAACTATGTCTTTTAACAATCACTAGTTCTTAATAATAACTCACCGTTATTCACTCAAATGATGGCCTATCCGCCATCTAGTTATCCATCCTAGTTATTACTGCAATCTAGTTCATTTTTATTTCATACCAGCAGTTAAAATTCAGTTTAAAATGTAACTGGAAAAGATTATTCTACTGGTTTCCTAACAGTTGCTAACAAAATGAGACATACCACAGGGAACAGACACAGGAATGACAATGAACAGCCGGAAAAGCACTAGTAGCTTCTTATCATGTCATACATATCTAAAAAAAAAAAGTCAACTGCTATGTCATAGTGAGGGAGAGGGCACATTTTAATAGGGTGCTTCTTTTCCTCTCCTCTACTCCATGGTTATTCTATTATAATCAGGATCATTAATAGTCTGTATGAATTAGCTTCATTCAGAAAACTGTGTTAAGAAAAAAAAAATCTACACTTAGTTACTTTCAGATTTTAAAAAAGGTTTTAGCATTTCAATTTTTGTTTTGCAACCACTGTCATTACACAAATTTATTGGAAGAAATACTTCTTAAAAGCAGATAATCTTATAAAAAAATTTAAGTTGAAAAACTTACCTTTATTTCCGAGTTTATTTTTAAATAAAACTATATACATTAAAGTGACTAACAATAAGTGTTACAATAAATTAAACAGCAAATAATGTACAATGAACAAGAAATGAAACAAAAAAGAAATTATTAATTAAAAAGATGAAATGTTCAGTATCAGGTTAAAATGGTTTTACTAAACATCTGGTTCTTTCTTTTTAAAAAATCTGATCACAGGGCTAGGGATATGGCTCAGTAGTAAAGCTCTTGCCTTGCATGTACAAGGTCCTGAGTTCGATTCCCAGCACCACACATACACAAACAATCTGATCACAAGTTAACCAACTGGCCTGTTTTTCACGTCAAATTCCCATTTTTAGAATGTATTACCTTGGAATGCTGTTCTTTCAGCTTCATTATTATACCCGGATCATCTTTTTTGCTAGCCATTAGCAATCTAAACATTTGTTCTCGATACTTGCTCATTATAAGTTCCAAGGCAGACTGATGTTCTTCCAGGGATGTACGCAATTCTATCAAGAATAACAGTGTATTTTATTCATATTTTAAAAGTACATAACATATTCTTTTCTATATTTATCAAAATATCAACTGCTTTAAAAAAAACACAATCCATAAAGGTCTAGCCATACAATGTAAAGGTCATCAAATTAATTCCCCAGTTTTTTTAAATGGTCATTTTATTTATTCACTTATTTTTTGAGACAGGGCCTGGCCACGTAGATCAGACCATCCTCAAACTCACAATCTTGTCTCAGTCTCTCGGGTGCTGGGATTATAAGAATGCACCACCATACCTGGTTTAAACTCACTGTCAAAGAACCATTTCAACATTTACTGAATAGCAATTAAATATCAGACAATGCTCCTGCTTATTAAAGAATATTAAAGGCCACAGAGCTTAGAACACAGCAAAGAAAACAACCTGTGATAAGAGCAGAGTGAACAGCTACTCAAGTATATTTAAGAAGTCTATGGGGAAGAAACTCGTGGAAGTTTCATAGAAGTCTCTCACTGAGATGAGACGACCTTAAGTTCCATGGCTGAAAAATGAAGGAATAACCATTCTAAGCAAGAGGCATAAACAAGGATGAGGCATTAACAATGGCAAGAACCAGGGGTTCGCAAAGGACAGCTGTGGGAAGCAGGGAAGAAGGCTGGGCACTGACTGACGGCCGCTGTATAAGAAGTAGGGTGTGCGAAAAGTTCCAAGCAAAAGAGTAGCATGATCAGATTTATTTTTGAAAAAGTTAATCAGATGCTTGTGTTAAAGGCTGATGGACAAGGGTAAGAGACCAGAATTAAGGAAACCAGTTAGGACTCTACAAGCGAAAAATTCTAAGCACCTACACTGGGGGCCAAAGCAGTGGAAATACAGAAAATGAAGCTAATTTGTTTCATAGATAAGAGCAATGGTATAAACTGGACATTATGGGTTAAAATCCAAGATGATGCCAAGCAAGGCAGACATTCACACACAGGACAAGATAAATAATAATAAATGTAATTTAGGCATATAGAATAGAAACGAGATTACTATGAGAAAGTAACTTCAGATGGCTGTTCTTCTACCTTGGAAAACATTAATTGTCCAAAACAGTATCACAACTGCAGATAAAAGTTCTCTTCTGAATTGCTATATACAGTAATAATATATCTTGCCTTTGTTTTCCTGTTGCAATTCTCTGATTTGTCTATTCTCTTGTTGGATTCCCATAACTAATGTAGACCGTGGTCGATGTCTTGCAACTTCATTAAGTTCTTGAATTTCTTCCTGATACTAATGAAAACATTAAAAAAGAACTTAAGGGGAGAAAAATATTTACAAATTTTTATCTGCTCTATGAATAAATATAAATAAATGAACAGCTTCTCCAAAAGTTAAGAGGTATTATGTGATCCATTGATTCTGCTCTTACAATGTATAAGCCCAAGAGAACTGAAAACATGTCTGCACAAAACCCTGGGAATAAATATTCACAGCAGCATTATACACTATAGCTCAATGGATAAACACAATGCACTACATCCTTCCAATGCAGTATTTTTGGGCAATACATGGAAATGAAGTACTGATACAGATGAATCTTAAAAATATTCTGTTAAGCCAATCACAAGAAGCTACATACTACTGTATTTTCCATTCATGAGAAAAATCCAGAATGTGCAACTCCACAGAGAAAGACTACTACTTGCTGGGGTATGGTGAGCAGAGGCTTGAGAGAAACTAATAAGAGACAAAGGGTTTGGGATGATGGCTGCACAACCTGTGAATATACTAAAATCCAATAAACTTTATGGTACATGGAGTTTATTAATAATAAATAAAAGAACGTGCAAAAAATGTAAAGATTTTGCTTCAAAAACTGAGAAAACCTAACTTTAAATTATACTTATTTACCTTCAAGGCATTCTTATGAGACACTTAGCAATGGATTCACTGTAACACTCTCCTCCTTTTTTCTTTTTCCTTTGGCTGTCACAGGGATTGAACCCTGAGAGACCAACCTATATCCTTGGCTATCTATCTATCTATCTATCCATCCATCCATCCATCATTTGGAGACAGGATCTTGCTAATTGCCAGGCTGATCTCAAAACTGCAATTGCTTTGGCTTCTGGAGTGTCTAGGATTACAGGCATGTGTCACTGGGGCTAGCACACTCTTGGTTAACTTCAGATGTCAGATTATGTTTTTAAAAAACAAGTCAATACCAGGCATACGTTCACTAGATTGCCTGAGCTGAACTGAAGTTACAGAGGTAATTTGTTTAGGGCAACACAGTTGCAAAACAGATCAAACACATTTGTTCCACTATTTCTACAGTTCTGTCAATAGCATTAATCCCAAGGTTGCTTCCTTTCTTTATAAAATGAGTCAATTTCAAGAGTTAGCTGTGAGAATTTTCCCATCTAATTTCCATTATAGTATCAGAGATCATCTGGTTTTCTTAAAAGTTGAACATTTTAATCTCAGCACTCAGGAGGTGGAGACAAGAGGATCATTGCAAGTTTGAGACCAGCATGGGTTACAAAGTGAGCTCAAGACCAGCCTGAACTGCATAGTGAGACCCTGTCTCAAAAAAATCAAAAGCAAGCAAACAAAAACTAAAAAGAAAAACCAAAGAACAAATGAAACAGAACAGAGTTGAACATTTTATCAGAGGAAGGCTTATACTCCATGGCTCACTAGAGAACTCTGAGACACACAGTACAGCAAGAAGTATTTAGGACGCTTTTAACAAGAAGTGAAATGCAGTCTTTCTTTTCTTTTTTTTTTTTTTTTTTACATTCTTTCTTTTTTAAATGACAACATTAAATTAAAAATAAGGTAGGCAGTATACATGCAGTAACTGCAAAGGGTACAGACCATTCAATAGTGCCTAACATTATTTTTAAAAATGATGTGATTGTTAAATAGAATCATGTAACACCTTTTATAAGGAAAACCATAAACATTTCTACATTATGTAAGATAGTGTAAAATGTGTGTTAACATTAGTAACAAGTATCTGGTCTTCATCAAATGCATCTAGACATAACTAATTTATTTTCTAAACTCAGATGTGCATCTCTGTCAGAAAAGTGATCAAATTTAGCTGGGCACACTGGCACAGACCTGTAATCTGAGCTATTTGGGACACTGAGAGGAAGCCTCAAGTTTAGGGCTAGCCTGAATAAGCTGCAGGGACCCTATCTCCAACTAAAAAATAAGAAGAGATGGGGGTATAACTTAGAGGTTCAGAGTGTGCTCTTAAGTTCAATTCCCAGAAACGAAAAAAACTCCTCAAAACCCCAAACAACAAACAAAAACCCACAACAACAACAAAAACCTTAAAGGTTTCAGAATATATACACATTTACATGCCACTTGAACATGACAAAATTATACCCTAAAGTAAAATATACAAGTGAAGTCATGCTGAAATCTTACACAACTTTAAAAAATTCCTAATTTAGCAGTTGCTCACAATTTAAGCAACACACAAAGGTCAGGGACAGCTTCTTTAAATGGAATCAGCAAGAAAGAAACAGCAAACCTGCTTCATTGCTTCCACTCGCTTGTTGAGAGCTGTGGTTTGCTCGATGAGAGACTCTGCTGCATCATCGTGATCTCGCAGCCTTTCAACAAGGGCTTTAGCGTCAGCAAGTGCCTTCTCTATTGTGCAACTCATTTCTAAGGGAACACCTGTAATTAAAATGAAAATCGAAATCAAGATGCCACATGAGCATGCTGCATTCTAATTTCACGTTAACACAGATATGCTTCTTAAGCTTCATTTAAGATTGTTCTCTCACTGCTGGCATCCTGGGATTACCAAAACCTGAAAAGGACAGGGCAACAAGGACAACAACAACAAAGAAACCACAGATGCGAAAAACCTTGATAAAATCCTCTACCGAAGACTATTTGAACTGATAAAGCACTCAGGATACAAAAATCAGTAGCTTTCCTATGTATCGAGTATAGATTTACTAAGGAATAAATCATGGAATTAATCATGTTCTCAATACACACACACACACACACACACACACACACACACACACACACGGGAAGATAATCAACTAAAGAAGTGAAAGACTCCTACAGTGAAAATCATAGAACACTAGTGAAAGAAATTGAAAAGTTCAATATGGAAAGAGTTACCATGTGCATGGATTCAGAGTGAATTGCTTGAAAGTCCACACTTCCAAAATGACAGACGCACTCAACATTAATCCCCATCAACATACCAATGATACTTTTTACAGAATTGGAGAAAACAATCCTATAATCCTTATGGAAGCCATAAGAACCCAAGTAGTTAACACAATCTTGGGCAAAAAGAGCCACGATGCGTTAAAATAGCTCAACTCCTGACTTCAACACATACTACAGAGCCACAATAACCACAATAGGATGACAATAAAAACAAATACACAGACCTAGGGAACAGACTAGGGATCCCAGGAAAAAACTCCATAGTCCACAGCAAACCTCCTGAATTGGTACTTAGAGACTTCAAGATTTTAATTTCAAAATCATGTCCTGAAAGAATTCATAACTATCTGAAACTTACTCTGAATTTTTTTTCTTTCTAAGTTTTACCTAATGTTGTATTGTTGCAGGCAGCTGAGTTAGTTAAAAATATTATGAGCAGTGAGACAGGGCTAGGTCCTCGCTGGAGCCAGCACAGGCACCGGTCCTGCTGTGGGCCAGGCCTCAAAACAAAAGACCATACAAATGCACCCATATCCTGGGACTGATACCCTAAAGAGTTCCCATCTCCTTACGAAAGAGTCACAGCTCTGTAAGAATGCCCACTTTTCTAGGTGATTCACTTCCCCATTTGTCCCTTATGTAATGTTTTATCTGAACTACTGATCTTATTGGCTAACTATAGTTATGTCCCACCTTATGCCCATCTGCCTTGTGGTTCCTAGTCTTCCCCCACCTTGAACCTGATAGAACTGTGGGGGACTGGCGGCAGCTGAAAAGATAAGAAGTCTGAAATATAAATGACCTTTATTTTGAGAATGCAGGGAGAGACACCCCGACCCCCCGGGGCGCGGCATCTCCATCCCAAGGTCAGCGATCTCTCCGTGGAACATGTGGAGTGGGGGCCTATATGTAGCTTAGGTTAGGGGTGGTGCCTGAGGGGGGCATTAGGGATGCACAGGTAGCCCATTGGCACTAGTTTGGCGCCAGAGGTAGATTCCTAGGGGTGGGGGAGATAGAGCTCCTTGGCTTCACTGGCTACAGTGTCCTGTCTGGGCCAAAACCCTTTCAGAACCCACGGTTTTACTCTATAAAAGTCCCCAGAAAAGACAGCCCCTGGCAACTCGCTGGGACCCCTTCTGTCTCTTCTCTTCAGATAGAAGCTTTCTTTCTCTTAATAAATATACCTCCGTTGTTCCTAAAAATTCATTCTTCGGTTTGAGAGAACACAAACTCTTGGACATAGTAGGTTGGGCACTTCATTCCCCTGTATCAGTATGAGCCACCCTTTCTTTAGAGTTGTCTTAAAAAAAACAACATCCCTAGGCCAGAAGCTACATCTACAGAAGTTAAGTTAAAACTGTGGGACAGAGTCAAGTCAGAGCCATAAATAAATGAACTTTGGAAAGAACTTTGCAGTACAATCCGGCCACTTTGCAGTACTAGAAACTGATGCCAGGGTCTTTGCATGGAGTTATAGCTCTAGTTCCTGCCTACCCTCTTTTAAATTTCAAGACAGTGTCTCCATAAATCATTTAAATTTTCCAGCCAGGGCTTGAACTTTTGATCTTTCTGCCTCAGTGTTCAAGAGTCTGGGACTGCAGGTATGCAGCACCACACCCAGGTTGGTGCAGTTATTCTGGAAAAACAGAACAGTGTGATAGCTCCTGAAGAAGTTAAACATATGAGCCAAACATTTTACTCCTAGATACAAACCTAGAAAATGAAAATATTCACAGTAGCCAAATATTAGAATTAACCCAAATGCCGTTCAACTGATTCATAAATAAAATGTAGTGTATTAATACAGTGGAACATTTGACAGAAAAGAGGAGGAATGCTGTCCTGACCCATGCAACCACACGAACGGTAATTGGCAAGCCAGGCAAAGTCACAGCACTCACAGGTGCTGACCACATGTTATGTAACTCCGTTTATATTAAATGTCCAGGAGAGGCAAATCCAGAGAATCTGAAAACAGGTTAGTGAAATGTCTGGGGCTGAGGTGTGGCAGTGGGTGGGGAGGTTGGGAAGAGGTAAGGGAATGGGATGTGATTGCTAATAGCCTACAACTTCTGTTTTTCTTCATTCCCTCCTTCCCTTCTTTCCTCTATTTCTTTCTCTCTTACCTACCTTCCTTCCTCCCTCTCTCTTTTCTTTCTGCAATACTGGGAGTTGAACCCACAGGGTAGGTTTGAATTTGACGTCCTCTTGCCTCAGCCTCCCAAGTACCAGTCTATTGTTTCTTTATGGAGTGATTAATACGTCCTAAAATTTATTGGTTGTGCAACTCTGGGAATACAGTGGACTTTCAAGTTACAACCAGTCATACATACGCACAACTTGGGTTACGATTGTAATTTTAGGTTTAATCTATGACAGAAGTCTTGAGTCATGACCTAAATGCTGGCCACTTGTGTGGCTGTAAATGAAGACTCATGACGCCAAGAAACGTATGTAAATATACATAATCAGTCTGAGCCCAGATGTGCATGTTTGTAGACATGATTTCAGTCAATGCTTTACATAACCACGATTACTGCTATCAGAATGACTCCCCCAAAAGCTAGAAAAGTTAAGGAAGAAAGGGAAGGTAAAGAAAGCAATCACAATTGAAATGCATGTGATTGATCTTGCTTATATGTACAGCATGTTCAAATCCACCATCTCGATAATCTTAACCAAGTAAAGACTTGTATCAGGCAGCTAATGTTGCTAAAGGTGTTAGTCAAATTAGTAAGTCACGATCAATAATTTGTGAATCTATAATTTGTGAAAAAGCTGGGGTTATAAATGCAGATAATCCAGAAACAAGTAGTAATAGTGAAACATTTTGTGCCTGTACGGATGGTTTTAAAGTGAGAACTTAAGCTTATAGCATAATTAGGCATAGTGAAGCAGCCAATGCTGATAAAAGGGCTGATGAAAATTACATGTCACCTGGAAATGATGACACAGATAACACTGATACAAATGGCCTTTTCTTGAAGAAAATGCCCAAGAAAACATACATTACCCAGGAAGATAGAAAATGCCAGGCCACAGATAGGCTATCCTCACTGCTACGTGCCAATGTGAGTGGGGACCTCAAGATAAAGCTTCTCTTGGTTCATCATTTTGAGGTCCCTGGAGTGTTCAGAAATCATGAAGTCATGAAGAACAGGCTAGGAGGAGTCACATGGAGATCCAATGCAAAAGATAGGTAACAAGAGCACTTTTTCTTGAGTGGATCAGGGATGCTTTCTGGCCTACTATTAAGAAATACCTAGAGGACAAAGGTTTACTACTCAAGGCTTTCCTCGTCACGGACAACATTTCTGCTTACTCACAAGATTTGGAGGAATTCCCGTGGCTCTCAGTCGAGTTCCTCTCACCTAATACAACTCCTCTACTGCAACCTAGGGACCAGCAGGTTATAGCTAACTTTAAGAAGCTATACATGACCGAACTGTTCCTGACGTGCTTCCAGATGTTCTCAGATACAGATTTAACTCTTAATGAGTTCTGAAAGGAACATTATAACATTCTTCCTGTGGGGTTAATTGAGAAATCTCTAAGGACACTGAGATCTGCTTGGAATAAAGTATGGCCTAAAAGTATACAGGGGAGGGACTCTGGAGGCTGTGTGGAGGACCTGCGGTTGATGAGACTGCCGCTAGAGCGGAGCCCACAGGCTTGCAGGTAGACAGTGGCAATGCTGAGGCACTGGTGGAGGACCACGCAGAGGAACTGTCTCCAGAGGAACTCCAGCAGCTTTTGGCAAGGCTGAGGAGCTTTCTGAAGGGGGGGGAGGTATCAACAATCAGCATAGCGAAGTTATTCCTCAGAGATAAAGGAAATCCTTAACAAATGGACAGAGCTATAAACATTTGTAGGGAAGACCTGCCCAGATAGAGAAAACGCCAATCGTGGCATTCATTTGCTTAAGGACAATGTTGTCATGTCCTACTACAGAACAGCGTTAAAGGAAAGACAAAAACAGACAACCTTACACCAGTTTTTAGTTCTGAAAAGGTTGAGACCTAGTGACCCAGAGGCAGGTCCTAGTGGGCTACAGACGCTTCCAAGGAGAGACAGGACACCAGAGAGCCAGATTCCTGATGCTCTTACGGAAGAGGACTATCCTTCCAGACGATAACCACCTTCCATTTCACCCTCCCTTTCTGCAAGCCAAAGATGTCAACTTGAATGGTGAGTACAGTATAAAATTGTTACTTTTGGAAAATTAGGCACATTTTATAACTTTTTGGAGAATACACTAGGAAAATTATCAGTGTTTCTGCTAAATTACACACATCATACAACCGTTTTTATTATGAAAAGGTGGATTAAGAGGTACTTTGGGAGGTTCAGAATGTATTACAGGTACTGCCATTATTTCACATGGAGAAAAAATTTTGACTTACGACCAATTTGAGTTACAACCAGCCCTTGCAAATGCAATGAATTTGTGAAGTCAAAGGTCCACTGTATACTAAAAACCATAA